AGATTTTGCTGCTTTCCAATGCTTCCATCTTTAGTTGGCTGGGAGATTGTTTCGGAAAGCCAGAAACCAGCTTTCCTGAACAATTTGCCCCCTCGACCATCAAGCAGTCAACTTTTGGCAGGGGTTCTCAGTCCGGTTTTAATGAGCAAGATCCAGTTGTTTAGCTTTCGCGCCAATCGCCAGGTAGTGCAAGATGTGTGCAAGCCTCTTTTCCCTGCCAATGACCCTATGCGGTTGCTCAAAATAGGCCCCTTAAATTGGTCGTCCTGTTGGTTTCCCTTGAGCTACCACCAAAAGTGGGTCCAAGTCTTTGCGAACCCCAAATCTGAGGCGGGTGAAATCAGCAGGCCCGGAGCTTCCCTTGGAAGGGTTGGAGGGATGGTTCGGTGGCTTAGGGTTGGTTCAGGGTTCGAAACTTGGGAGGGCTCGGGGCTTCAGGGCAAAACTAGGAGCCCTCCTCCCAGGAGTGCTGTGCGGTTTTTGTGCAAAGTTTTGAACCGGTTCTCACGGTCGCTTCACGACGTCGGCCGCCCGCAGCGACGTTTTTGGGGTTCAAACAAGCCGGCTGCAATCACAAGCAATGGCTCGCGCCCTGGGCGGAATAATTCGCCGCTGTCGGGGCAGGGCTGGGCTTCTTTGGTGGCGGCATTTGCCTCGAGTTGCTGTCGTTCGAGCTTGGAGCCCGAAGAATTTTCGAGCTTGCGAGAGTGAGAGCCTTTCGGACGGTTCGGGTGACCCGAAACTCGGCACGCTGTAAGCTCCTACAAAGCCTCCTCAAAAAGGCAGACGTTTGGGGAACTTGAAGAAGCTGTGCGCAGAAATTTGGTTCGTGACTGACCGGCGACGAGTTGGGGGGTGCCAACCCCCGGACAAGTTATGTTCCACTCCCCTAGCACCGTGGTGAGGATGGTGGACAGGTTTTGGGCGCGATTCATTCCCAACCATAGGAGCGGTCTGGTTTTGGGTGCTGGTATCGGGTTTGATCATGACTCATGTGCCAGACTTACTAGAACATGCCGCATGGTTCTCTTTTGGCACACTCTTTTTAGCTTCAAACAGGTTCTCCAGCATTCTTTAATTGGACAACTAGCCCTTTGGCTAGGTAAGAGCAATGAGCATGTTGCTACCATCACAGAGATACTCTTCTGCAAATTCTGATGCACCCCCCCCCCCCCCAACGCCCCTTTTGTAGGGAATCTTCTTTTTTTTTTGGGGGGGGGTCCATGTTAGTGTCCCCGGTGGGGACCGTCCAAATGGTTGGTGTCCCCTTTACAGTGGCACGAGCTTTTGGCTCCTCGGCTGACTGCATGCGCAAAAGAGATTTTCCGAGTGCGAGCGACCCATGCTGCACTGCCAGTTCACATGGCCCCAAAAAGGGTTTCTCCCAAGAACCAAATTCGTCTTGAGCCACGATCGAGCCCTTTTTCCCATGCAGGAAGCTCACTGTATTCTGGCAGCCAAGAGGTGATGTGTACGACCACCACAAGAGAAGATACGCAGCGTGTATTTTTTTGAGTATTTCTCGGTATTTGTTGATAGCTGGTTTTCCAAGGCAATCTAAACACGGTTGGTATTTGGAGTTGGAGTGTAGGGTCCCTAGCCTCCCAGGCTCCTCCGGACTCCTGGTGCTCCTGGCCGCCCTGGCGGCGCTGTGCCTCCTGCAGAACGCCTTCGTGAGCCCCTCCGAATCCAAGACCACCCTGCGAACGGAGGAGAAGTTGATCTCCACGGGTTCGTGACATCGGCGCCCCAAAGTGGGGAAAGTGTTCTTGGTTTTCCTCACAAGCCAAGAAAGGGGTCTGGAGAACTAGCCCTCTTGACCCGCTGGCCCGGAAGCTGTGAGCCGTTCGACGGCCTTTCTTGTCGCCAGGATGCCGCCAAGTTGGCCGCCGCAGGTGCCATGCTGGCGCCAGAGGCCGCGCACGCGCGCCTGCCAGAGGCTCCAACAGAGGGAGGGGAGGGGGGCCCAGTCGTTGGTTTTTAGGGAAATCCAAGAGCTGGTTGTTTGGTTGTTGAAGCAGCGGCTGTTTGACGGTGTTGAGATGCGGTGTTGGCCCAACCCTGACAATCGCAATCTTCCTCAGCTCAGATTCGGTGACCTCAAACGGGTTCTAGAAAGTGGGTTCCTTCGCACGCTACACATGACTGTCCTTTGGCGCAAGTGATCGGAACCAATTTGTCAGATCCAGTTTTAGGGTCGCTTGATAGTCTTGACTGCACATCTGGACTTGAGGTTGGGAAGGACTAAGTGAATAATCAGCGCTTTACGTGCAATCTACTTTCACCATGCTGAGATGAACCTCCAGGTTGACCCATATGTGGGGGCCGCTTTGAGATTCCATTGCTTTCGTTATGCTCTTTCGCCTGGGCACCAGGTATTTTTCAACCAACCTGTCGACAAAGCCCACAGGCTTCTGCGCTCCTCTGTATCATCTTGGCAGACTAAGCTTTTATTTTTCTCCCTGGAATCGGTTTGTTTTCGTGGAAAACGCCTCAGATGGCCCCCGCCCCTTTTGTTGGCCTTTGGGCTTCGCCTGGGCCTTTGGGCGAGACTACTTGTCGCTCGCCAGGAGTTCGTGATCTTCGCGCCCATTGTGGACGTGCTGCCCGCGCGGCGCCCGGAAGGTTTGGGGGTGGCTCCTTTCCTTTCGAGTCGCTCGGCCGTTTTCAGGGGGCAACCAAAAGGAATACCAGGGGGTCACGCTTTTTTGTTTTTTGCATACAACGACAATGTGCGACCTCTGAAGTAGACTGTAGACACTTGAGGTTCACCCACGTAATCCAAGCGTGTCACATGAACGTGTGCCTCGAACAGGCAAAAATCAGAACATGCGCTGCTTTCCCTGTCATTCTATGGTTGATTTGGGAGGGACATGGGGGGGACGAGTTCCAAATGTCAACCACAAAAACCAGGTTGTCCCACATCCTGGGGAAATATTCGTAATTTTGACTGGCCTTTCCGGGTGCAAGGGTCGGTTTTGCTGACACACTAGTTCCAACCTCCAAAGTTTGCAACATCGAGGCTTCAAATCACCAGCCATTTCATCAACTCATTCAGGTTGCTCTTAAAATGGATGGATTCCATGGTGGTTTTGTTAATGCAATTTGTGTCCCAGAGAGTAAGCAGCAAGGTATAGGCCTCGAGTGGTCGACGCCTGAAAGGCTTCCCTTGTTTAGCAGGACACGAAAATGGGACGAGCTCCACATTCCAGCACCAAAATCAGGAGGACAAGGCAACCATTTTTCCGAGGTCCGTAAGTAACTGACACCCGCCGTTTTGGACTACTCAACAAAAGCCAGGAGGACCCGCTCACTCATCCCCATGTTTGTTTCGGAAACCAAAAGAGAGCTTTTGGGTGTGTCATTTTTTTTGGTAATTACCCCTTTTGTTGTCATTTGTTACAGGGAACAGCAGAAGGAACACCCATTTTGGGGTGCCCCCCATTTTGAGACACCCGTTTCGGACCGCTCAGATCATCCCGGTGTTCTTCTTCTTGCTGGCATTCCTGTGGCAGGCGTGAGGGAACATGGCAGATACCCGTGCCTCAGCTAGCGGACATGAAAAGACACAGATCGAAGACTTGGGCGCCTTGAGTTCTACCCGGGGCTACAGAAACAGACTGTCCTTTCCGTGTTCAGGCAGCCGTCGGCTTCCGATGAGCCCAGCTGACGTCGGACTCGTCAGCTTTTTGATCTATAGCCGTTCGCGATGCCTGGGCCCCAAAGGCGACAGATGCGAACGGCAAACCTCTGGCACTTTTCCGAAGCGCAGCGGACCGACGATTCCTGTGGAAAAGAAGAGCGGAGTACGGAGTTGGGGAGGCGTGGCGTCTCGCGACCGTTGTGTGGTTTTGGATCCCTTGAAGCCGGTGTTCAGAAATTGCCCGTGTTGACCCCCAAAAGCTTATCATGAGTGGTCTTCCTCTCAAGGGCTTGCCCAAGTCGTACATGCTACCAATCAGCTGTCAACATGGTGGGACCCCGGAGCAGGCTGAAGTGGTTGATCGGGGGGGTGCCCCTCTTTTCGGTGCAGAAGTTTAGACTTTTGGGGGAACCCCCCCCCCTACCCCTAGTAGGACGGGATTATGAATCCGGGGTCAACATAGCCCTTAGGCTGGCAACTTGGAGTTCCCATCATAGCGTGTTGCGCAAAAGACCATTGGCTGGATTCCCTTGTTCTAGGATTCATTTGCGCCTTCTGATGGCGAGCTCATCGAACGGGCGTACAACGAGCTCATCCACAAAGAAGGATCCTTTCTAGGGGAGCGCGTTTCCGGTGGTTGATTTTCCCCAAAGGGCGCCATGTACGGCTTTTTGAGGATCACATGCTTCCACAAGAATCCGCTGGTTTGTGATTTGTTTGCTGCATTGAAATCGATCCCTAAGTTGACCTCCTGGAAGCCTCTAACTGCCCCAAGGTCCTCCCCAAATTGACGAAGTGGGCCCCAACTTTCCATTCGAAGGCCTTGCATCCTTTCGGACCCAACTGATATCACAGGCCGCGAGGAAACAGGAGGTCACGCGAAGCTCTCCGGCGAAGGCAGCATCCTGTGCCTGGGGCCTTTTGGCATGTGGACCCCGGGTGCTTTGTTGGGGACCTTGGTTTTCCCCTACCCCAAGCCCGGTTTTGGTGCCTTTTGGTTGGGTCCCCGCAAAAAAGATTGAAAGGTCGAGAAAAACAGGGCCCCCAGTTTTGTTACCCCACCATCCCCCCCCGTTTTCTTGGTTTTGAACCAGCAGGGGAGTCAACAGGGGTTCTGGGAAGCCGTGCACCGCTTGAACAAAGCCCTGTGAATACTGGGATAAGCCACCTGCCAACTGGTGCCTGCCATGGATTTTCTCCATCCTTGGGTGTTCGTTGCCAAGCTAAGTTGTTGGCAACCTTGGACTTACAACTCACTTAGAAGTCCCCCATGAGGTTAACCCTGTTGTTTTGTGGGTTGCAAGTGGCTAACCGGCAACAAGCATCCAAGTAGGGCTCATCTCATTTCCTCGTTCCGCTGGCTCGCAGCTAGCCCCGCCCCGCCCCTCCTGAAGTCTCGTGAAGCGGTTTGCTTGCGACAGACACGATGGCCCGCCCCTGGGACGGCAAGGCTGGTGAAGTCGCGTGGGGGGGCCTTCGCCAGACTCTTCCTTTTATTTGTTCTTCCAAACCAACCAAAAAGACTTCCCCCAAAAGACGGCTTCCGGCTTCCTTGTGTTTGTTCCTCCAAACCAACCAAAAAGAGTTTGCCCAACTTCCTCTGGTTCGTTCCTCCAAACCAATCAAAAAGAAGCTCTCCCAAAAGGTGCAAAAGAACCCTGGGGTCTGTGGTTCTTGGGCGAGGGGAGGGAGCCTGACTTTTCTGGCAACCTGAAAATCTGCTTCGTGCTGGCGGGCTTCTCAAGAGAGCTCCGCTCGGCTGCGCTTTGCGACCAAACCGCCCCTTCGTCAGAAGACACAGCTTCCTCACCCCGGTAGCATGTTGGGGATCTCATTAGGAGCGGCTAGCCATGCCCAATGGTCCTCAATCTTTGCGTCCATCCATTCGCTCAAACTTCCCATGATCGACAGAGCTTATCCCTTTCTTCAGGTGGCAAAAGACGGCGGCCACCGTTTTGGTCCAACAAGGCGACACATTTTGGACCACCCCCCCGCTTGCGCACAACAACTGCGACTCTAGCAGCTCCATGAGCACCAGCGAGAATTCAAGGAGTGCCGAAAAATGATTGGAACAAGGGGGTGAGGCGCAATTGCTAGCAATATTATGTGATGATAGGAGCAACACGTGTGTGTGTGTATATATATATATATGTACACATTTAGCCCCCTCACAATACCATCATGAGCAAAATCAGCATCGGCAGAATCATCGGCACCAATATCAGTCAGCGTCACCAACATCATTGACATCGTGGACTCCACCACCATCTGGCAGTGACCAACATTGCCAACATCAGTACAGCTTGCATCACCACGTCAGAATCACCATCAGCGGCGCTGTCAGAATCATCAGCATGTCCAACACAAGCATCACTAACTGAGCAAACACCTTGAAGATGGTGTCTCTTGTCATTCTAGGCTTCTTGCTTGGTTCGGAATTGAAGTTGCGGTAGTCAAATTCGCCAGGAGTCATTGCATCGTTCGCAGATTCGTTTGAGAGCCAGATCCTGTGCAAACGGATGTGGGTAGGGATGGCTGCGGACCCATTGCAGGGTCATTGGACTGTTTCTGTGAATCAAAGTCAGAAACTGGTGGTGATTTCCCTACGGGAGTGACCTTGACACTGGCAAAATGGGGCCAGGCCCAGGAGTTTGGACCGGAGATGGTCCGTCTCCGAGCTTTGGCCGAGGTTCTCCGATTCCACTGTCTAAGGGATTTGTGCCCATGGTCCAGTTTGGGTGTTTCTCCATTTGGGTGTTGCTCCGAATTTTGGGCTATGCCCTCATAGCCCTACGTCGGCTGATTCGCTGAGGCTCCTCCGGACTCCTGGTGCTCCTGGCCGCCCTCGCGGCGCTGTGCCTGCTGCAGAACGCCTTCGTGAGCCCCTCCGAATCCAAGACCACCCTGCGCGGGGAGGCTGGACATGCGAACCCTCCTGTCGTCGCCACGTGGGTGTGTCTTCTTTTATGATTCGGACCCCCCCCCCCCAAAGAAAAACAACACAAAGCACCAAACAAGGGTGCTCCCAAAAATGACGCACCCACAACCATATGGTTGTGGGAAAGTGGGTTGTTGGGCTGTTTCTGTGGTAGCAAGAGAGTCCCAATTAAAGTGGGCGTGTGGATGATCCCTTTTGGTATCACCAAAAGGCGGATGTTCCACGTTACCATGGAGCCACCAGAGGGTCGCTTGAAGGTCTTCCAAGATCCTCTCCCCCCCCCAGTCAGATGGAGGGTTTCAGATTTGCACGAGGTTTGTGCCGCCTTGGGGGAACTTTGCTGAATGGATGCTGCTCTTGGATCGACAGAATTCTACCCACAAGTATGATTTTCAGCAGCTCACATACCAACTCTATAATGGGGATTTTTTGGGGGTGTCAAATACATGGCATTTGGCCCAGGCAGTTTGAACTTGCATTTAATGCCACTGTCCATTGGGGGTAGAAACGAAATGCTCCCTGCAAGTTAATATGGAACGCAACAAGGTGGCCGGGTTCCCTATGTTGCCCTAGCAGGGTCAACATGACCTGGACCAATTTAAGCTGAGTTTCCTTTTGGGGTGAGTAAAGGGGAAGTATAATTGGAAACGTACTCCTAATTTTCTGGTTGATTGACAGGCGTGCCCCCTCAGAGCAGTTGTGCAGGGGCCTGCCTCCTATCTGGGTGTGTCTTTTTGTTACGAGACCCCCCCAAAAGAAAACGAGGAGTTAGAAGTAGATGGGTGCCGCTGGTTTGGAAGTTGTAGAAGCATGCCTTTAAACCAGTGGAACCCCTGTATTTTGAACCTATAGATTTTCCTGCCCCGTTTTACCATTGAAGCCGCTGGTTCGCAAGTAGGTGTTCCACCCCATTTTGCCAGGGACACCCCACCGATTTTTGCCAAAAGGACGCATGGCCAGTGTAGCAGGAAGGAAGTTGTTTGTTTTGTTTTGTGGTCTCCATTTTTCTTGTAGTTTCCACAAAAAGGGCACCCCGCCCCAAGCCAACTCCCTCCCCCACCCCAAAACCCTCCCAACCCTTCCACCCTCCCCTGGTCCCCGTTGGCATACAGTGGCTTGTTTAGTAAACCTGTCCCTGGTGCCGTCGCAGGACGTGGCAAAGCTGGCGGCGGCCGGCGCCGTGCTGGCGCCGGAGGCGGCGCACGCGCGGTTGCCAGAGGAGCGGGCCCCAAGCCCCCGCGGCTTGCCACGGAGCCCTGGAGGGGCTCGTTTTTTGTTTTGTTGTTTGTTTAAAGGAACCCCGTTTTGGTGCTTGTCTTTTTGAGGGAACCCTTTTTGTGGGTAGGCTTGAAAGGGAAGCCGAAAGGAGGCTTATCAAAATGAAAGGAGGCATTTTGCGAAGGGCCCCCCCTTTGCCATGGGACGAGTTTCTGTTGGCAACCCAAAGAACCCGATATCAGGGGGGGTGGGGGTGGTGGGTGGGGGTGGTGGGGGGTGGGGGTGGTGGGGGGTGGGGATGGTGGGGATAGGGTTCCCTTTGCTTTGGTTTCCCTTTTAAATACCAAGCCCGAAAGGGGTATCCCCACCCCAGAACACAAACGAAACCACAACCGCCAACGAGCAGCTCAAACAATAGCAGGAAAGTTATCATTTTTAGAGAGGGGTCTCCTCCAAGCGTACTTTGTATTTGTGGGTAGACTTCATATGGAACAGAGTCAGAACATATGTTTTCCCTGGACCGCAAATGGGGGGAGTTGAACCGTTTTCTTTGCTCTTTTCGGTTTTGTCTCAACACAAGGGTGCAACATGGCTTTGGTTTCCCTTTATAACCAACCAAAAGGGGACGCCCTCAAAAGAAGACACCCAATTTTTTGTGGGAGGAGTTCGTGATCTTCGCGCCCATTGTGGACGTGCTGCCAGCCGGGAGGCCGAGGTAGTGTGAATCAAAGCTTTGGCAGGAAATCCAAAGCGCCCAAAACGCTGGCCCGGCGGTTGTTGTAGGTGGTTCTGCCTGGTTTCAAAGGGTAGAAGTGAGGCTTGTATAAACGGCAACCATGTCAGAACCACCAGTGAATGGTCCTAAATCTATTCTACTGTTCCACTACCAGGTGAAAGGGGCAGTCCAACGGAGCGTCTTCCATACGGAAGTGCTTCAGCATTGATCTCCGACCATTGAGTACTGCCTGGTTTCACAGGGTAGTGAGGCTATAAACGGTATACAACCTTGAGGTTCCTCCCATCCACCCCAACGGCGAAGATCTGCGGATCTGTTCCATTGAACAAAGGTGCGCTTCAGTGAAAACGTCCAACACGGTTTCCTTGCTGTCCCAGTTTCTGAACTTTAGAAACCACTCTTTTGGGAAGATAACACTTTATCAGTTTGGGGCTTTTCAATTTACTCGGGAAGTGAGGTGGCTGTCCAGAAAGGGGCTGCCTGTGTGAAACAATTCACAGGGTGTCCCGTTTCAGGTTGACTTCATGGAACCTAGATGGATCTGACAGTTTCTAGCACGGTTCTAATCATTTACCAGTGGGACGAAAGTATCCCGCCTGGGCCTTTTTCTACCAGCTCTGGAGGTGAAACAAGATCACCCAGAAAGCTCCCTTACCGGGGGTTTCCTAATTTCGGGTTTATGATTTGGTGGGCGTGCCATTTTTAGGATCCCCCCTCAAAGCAAATCAGAAAACAGTATCATGGTTTTTCTTTTGGTTTCCCTCTAAACAACCACAAAAAGGGGTCGACTCAACAAAAAGAAACCACACCCAACTATAGGGACTTCTTTTTGCTGGCCACCTGATCCATGAAACCAACCCTGCCCCTGGTGCTTTTCCAAACCATCAGACTGCGAACAGTTTTGTCCGTCAGTTGCTTTGATTCTGAATTTCAACGGGTCCAGAAGCATCTTTTTTGGGTCAACATCAAAACATGGGGATTCAGGTAGCCAGCCACGTTTGAGGCCCCCTTAAAACGTATGTGCTGCGGCCAAGCTCCTTGAGTCATGGGCGTTGCTGCTCAAGGAGTCCAAGTTGACCTTTCCTTTAGCTTTTCCCAGACTGGAAGCCAGCTTGCGTTTTTTTTTGGAGGGATATCCCTTGAACATCAAGAACCAAGATCCAAGTTGTGGCACTTGGCTGCTTTTTCCCTCATAGCAAATCCACGAGGGAATCTGCCCCCCCCCCCCCAAAAAAAAAAAAAAGAAGAAGAAGAAAGAAGTCGGCCGTTCGGTTGGGGCGGGGCGGGGGGGACCGGGGGCTTTAAAGGGAGGAAGACACGGAGCCATTGGGCGTCCGAATCTTAACACAGCACACCCAAGTCATTGGCGGCTTGATTTTGACCAAATGGAACCCAATTTCATTGTGGCACGTGCCGAGATCATCCCAGTCTTCTTCTTCCTGCTGGCCTTCCTTTGGCAGGCTGGGCAAGTCAACCACAAGGAGAACTGGGGCCAGATTCGCTGCGGGTGTCGATTTTCATGTTGGGGCCATTTCGTCGCAGCTTCGGGGGGAACATCTGCTGGGTGTATACCTCAGACATAGGAAGATTCCCTGCCTTTTGGTTGTCGACGTTTGGTCTCTCGGTAGAAGGGTAAGCTCGTTGCTGGGGTTTCCAGCAGCAAAGGAGGTTCTGTATGAGACCACCTCACGGTACTGTAAAGGCACGTGGGTGTGGCTCAAAATTAAAGAGCTAGGGTTTCGCAGGTTTTAGTCTTTGGTTCCATTTGCCAAGGCTGCCATGTTGGTACATTTTTTGAGCCACAGCCACATGGGTGTGCTATTTTTTTTGCGGACCCCCAAAATGGTGGTTGTCCTTTCGGTTTCCCTATAAAACCACCAACAAAAGGGTACCCTCAAAAAAAGAAGCACTCACATGCTAAGAACTGGTCCTGAAGAGGACCCGCTTTGGACATGACATGGTGTCGGGGCCACATGCCTGGCCAGCCCCAAGTCAGCTTTCTCAAAGTCATTGGATGAGGGGTGGTCAAACGTGGACCCAAGGAAAGTGCCTTGGATGTTCGGCCAACTTAGTATGTGGTTAGCCACTTGGGTTATAATACCATTTGCCGTTCAGGTGTGCATCATCTAAAGTGGATCCCCTTGGGCCATTCTTTTCATGGGAATCGGTTGAACCCTAGGGTTGGTTCACACTTCACGTTTTTCTCTCGGCAGGCGGCGGTCGGCTTCCGATGAGCGGGAAGCTTCGGTCCGGATGCCGGCAGGGGTAGTTTTGCTTCTGGCTGGCGGCCCGGTTTTTGAGATGCGCGGAAGCAGACGCATCCGGAAGCAAGCTGCTTGGTTGGTCGCTCCTCTAGGACAAGAATGACGCGGAAACCCACGTTAAGCTTCGTCAATAGCTTTACAACTCACTAGAAGGCCTCCAAGGTTCAGAACAAGCAGCAAAATCAGGGTGGTTTGCCAGCACGGAGGACTGAATATCTGGGGTGCATGTGGCTGACCAAGCACAAGCCAGCGTTTACCTGGCCGACATGGTAGCCGCGGCAACAAAGCAGTTTTTCGGCGCACCGCCGCGAGAAAATGCGCGAAATAAGTTCGGGGCAAATTGGTTCACCAGCTCACCGGTTTGGGAATATAGTAAGTTGCCCAGCATCAGTTGGAAGCCAGGTAGGCTGTTTTTTTTGGCTGCAAGGGAGGCTGAAAGGAAGCACAACGGAAGCCCAGAGCTTGGGAACTTGGGGTCCTGTTCAACACTTCATGGCCGATTCTGTCAACGAGTTGTTCCTGTTTCGACTGAGATGTTGTGAGGCTGATTCACGCTCGAACGACTCGTTGTTTTCCTTTGCCCAGCGTTGGCAAAGGGGCCCTTGTGATTTGAATCGTTAACGTGGTCTGGCTTGGCTTCCCTGATCATTTGTTACATTATCGTTTTTTTTTTTTTTTTTTTTTTTTTTTTTTTTTTTTTTTTTTTTTTTTTTTTTTTTTTTTTTAAGGGGTACCCTCAAAACCCACGCCCAAGTATTTCTGGCGGCCTGTTTCTGGCCATTGGTGCGGAGATGTTTGAACCTCTCCTTTGAACATGCCATTTTAAAGTCCCGTGGGAAACATAGGGAACCTTGTTTTTGGGTCCCCAAAAGCCCCCACTGGGAAGTGGCACATCGGCTGCGACATGTGCAGAATTGGACCAAGTTGGTTGCAGCCCGACCTTTGCCCCCGTTAAAGCGAACGCTTGGTTGTTTGGATTGGTGGGGATTTGAACCTCTGGTTCTTGTAGAGGGTAACTGGGAAACTACCCCGAACCAAACCACCAATTGGAAGGAAGCTGAAATCTAGCGTCTCTGCGACCTGTAAGGTCAACTTCCTCTTAGATTATAAGGTCCCATGGCAGCGTGGAGCGCGGAAGGGGGAATCGTGCAGCGCATGCTTAAGCACTCTGGCCCGAAATTTCGAAAAGGAAACCACCAGGTGGTTGTTGTTTGTTCCCCCGCAAAAGAAAGCGGGTTTCCAAGCTGTTTCCCCATATTTGTAACATCACTTTTTGGTCGCCAATGTATATCAGGTGAGTTTGGGTTGATCAAACAAGGGGAACAGTCACAAGGGATGCCAGCTGGTTTTCCCAAATGCCTCGAACCCAAGCGGCTCGAGGTGCGCGGCAAGCGCTTGCCGCATTCAACAAAAGTCACCGGTGAACATCTACTGGTTGGCACCGAAGCAACTTCTTGAAACAGTTTCATGCGCACATCCGAACGGAACAAGCATGGAGCATTGAGAAGCTGCAACTATCATCAAGTCGCCCGCGCGTTCAATTGCGCTGGGTCCATTCAAGTGAACATTTGCTTCGAGGGACTTAGTTTGGAGGTCTTTCGCGGCTTCGGAGGCCCCAATCAGGTCGGAGGCTGCTTTTGAGCAGCCACCAAGCAACGCGTCATGTTGCGACCGGATCACCTCTTTCCGCATGACCTCACCAACTCGCACCATCAGGACCGCGAGTCCGGCCCGCCGGTCAACACAACAAATAAGACCGCCATTGGTATCTCTCCATGTCCCTTTTTGCCAACAGCTTTTAGTGGGGTCCTCGACCAGATCGAAGCTTGCTGTGTGTTTCTCCTTTTTTAACGAAGAAAGATTAGGGGGTTCCCCTGAATTTCTGCCCTTAGCTAATCCGGACGTTTGCTTGCCCGGGTGACTTAGTGAACAAGTCGAAACGGGCTGTTTTGGGAGGACCTTGTCAGGCCACTGGGAGCATCTGGTGAGGCCTCAACCAAAACCATCTGTCAAGGATCCAGTCCTAAGTTAGGTCAAAGTGGCTGGGCCCTCAGCCCCAGAAGGGCACACAGGAGGCAGGATTTCTCCCATGGGATCCGGCGATTTTGTGGATAAGGGGAAAAGGGGAAAAGCCCTTCAAATAAGCGCCCGTTGAAAGCCGATTCCCGGAAAGGCCATTAAACGGTGCCTCGGTTCCTACCTGTCAGGGGTATAGTAAGGCTCATGTGGGTGTGTGCTCTTTTAGGTGAGCCCTTTTTTGGTTTTGAAAAGGAAACAACAAGGAGCGAATCCCCCAAACAAGACCTACCGTTTCCACTCGCAGTCCAACAGTTGCTCCGGGCGCTTCGACCGTCGACCGAAGCCGCAGGACCTCGCTCAGAATGTGGAGGAGCTGATGCACCATGGCGTCTCGACCCGATTTTCCCATTTCGGGAGAAAAACGATGGGAGGGCCGTCGATTTGCCGGCCGAAAAGTGAACTTTTGGCTCCTGGCTTCACAATGGCAGGGCAGTTGGCGTTGTTGGAACAAGTGGTTTGGTTCTGTCCATACAATCATATTATAGACAGAATCGTTTTCTTGTTCTGTCCGTTGTTAGCGAGGCTGCACATGGAGAGCACATTTTGCTTACATGCGCCAGTATGCCAGGGGACTGGAAAGCTGGGGTTCGGATCGAGCGAATCATTCGGCGGCGGGGAGATTTCTCATTAAGAAACCCGAAGGGTTACCAGTGGCGAAACGTCTGGGGCGCGTTTTCGGCACGCTTTCGGCCTACCAAAACTGGGGAATCTATTTTTTGCTGGCCAAATAATTGGATATCAGACAACATCTCAACATATGGGTCTTGTTTGTTTGAAGTTTTTTTTGAATTGGACCACGTATGGACATGGCCTCAAAATAGGGCGATTTGGCACCTTCCCTTGATGTCTGGAGTACTACACCCCTTCGAGCTGGGCGAACGGTCGACAAAATTCTCGACCCGAAGGCCCCTCGCGGCAGTTCTCCGACCTGGTGCGAACCACTTCCAGGCTTTCCACCACCTCGATGCTGCAGGGTGCCAAGGTGGGATTGTTTTTTCCTGCTGTGGTTTGTTGGCTTGATCTTCGCGCATGTAACATCCAACCTGCAGCTTGCATGCCCACTCGTGCTCCCTCCCAAAAGCATGTCTTTGGGAGCCCTTTTCCTCTCCCTCCCTCTCCAAAATGCGGTTTTTGAACGTCCTGTCCATATCTTTCCCCTGGAACTCAGTTTTGGGAAGCCTCTGCCTCCCTCTCCAAAACCCTCCGCACATGTCCCATATGTCCCATTTTGCCCGACGACTTATGTGGCATCCATGAGGCACGGCGAGGTACTCGCAGAATTGAAGTGGGGGTTTCAACTGGGCATTTCGTTGCCGGAAAGAGGAGCCTTTTGAAACTTCTGGGAAGGTCCATTTATGAGAGGGACTGCCAGTAATTAGAGGGCTATCCCTTATTTATTCCTGACAAAGGCCAGAAGGGCTTATCCTTGGCTTGTCCTGGGCCATAGGTTCCTCCCAAATCCATGATTTGACCGTTTTCTGTGGGGTCAAGTTCACTGGGGTTGCTTGCCTGTGGACGACCTGGTGACTTTGAGGGTGGACAGATGGGGAAGGGACGTGTTGGATTGGTTCTCAAAACACTTCCATTTGCCTTTCACTTCCGTCTGCTCAAGAGTATTTGTTATTTTCTCCTGTTGGTTTTAACTGGAATCTACCAGTACTCGATCTTTGTGTGAAAGTTGTTAAGGCTGGAGGTTCTGATTGCTGATTTCCCCTGGTTTTTGGGAGAAAGAGAATCTATCACTGGACATACCTTCTGATTTGTTCCGGGGGCGGTGACAGTTCGTTTCCCGCGAACCCCCAAGGGTACCTTTCGCCTCACAAACGCACAAATGGGGACCCTATGAGATATTCAAGGGCTCTTTTCCTTGATCCGGGGTTCACATGTGGGTAGGGGGTGAATGGTAGACCAAGGGGAAGCTGAGATGGGGCGTGGGTTCACTTCTGGCTCTTGGAATCGGACTTGGAATCGGGTGGCCCACCACTGTGGCTTCCCTTCCATTTCCCCTGTGGTCCAAGCCCAACAAAGATTCACATCTTAACTTTGAGACACACACACACACATGACGTCCAAGTTCTCTTAGTGTTTTCTTTGACAGCTTACGCCCTCTCCATGAGATGAGTTGGACCGTTGGTTTAATGAAAGGGTGCCTATTTTAGGGGACCCATCCCGATCTGAGCCGATTTGACTTGGGGCAAGTTTTTTGGGTCACCCCCCGATTTTTCTTCTTCTTTTTCTCCTTGGTTTCGCTTTACCGCAAAAGCCGGGCACCCACCTGGTTGTGGGACAGTGGGTTTTCGGGCTGCTTCCCCAGAAAAGAAGGGTGGTTTTCCCTTTGGTTTCCCTTCAGCACCACAACTAGGTCCCCCAGTAGTGCCCTTTTACCGTTTCTTTTTTGGGGGAGGGTTCCCCTAAAATATGTTCTACAGCAAAAAGTTGGTACCCTTATTCTAACCTCAAACTACTGGAGCACCTAGACCAAAACGGGGTACCCTCCGAGGAAGAATTAAGGGCCACGCCAGGTGGAGGACATGACGCAGGCCCAGCTCTGCACGGCGCTGAAGACTGACGCGGACTCGGGGCTGTCGGAGGAGAAGGCTGCGGCGCGGCTGCTGAAGGCGCGGAGGGGAGGGGAGCAACTCAGGTGTCCTTTGTGGTTTTGGTGGAGAAATAGATGGCCCTCTTTCCAAACTATTTGGGGATAGGTGTCCTTTTGAGTGGTTTGGGCCGGAAAAGAGATGGGTTTCGATTCCTGGTTTACCTGGTGGTTTCATCATCTACCGGGGCCATCTATTTGCCCTAGGACACCTATACGAGCAACGCGGAGAGCCCGGGGAAGTCGCTGATTTGTTGGCCGGATTTGGGGGAGTGGCTCCGAGTGCGTTTCGGGGCCACTTTAGCTGGCCGGGTTCGAGCAGGAAATGGATGCCAGGAAAAGAGGGAAATAGCGGTTTCCACTCATCCCCAGTTCTTCTGGGGGAGTTTTGAAAGGGCTATGTTCCTTTTTGTCTCATGGGGAACCCCAGTGCAGCCGATAGACACCCTTGTCACCATGTTGACGGAGCCCAAAGTTGGGTTTGAACAACACGACGGTCCTGCTTATTTGCGAGCTCACCTGGAGATAAAGCGAGCTCACCCTGAAATGTGTCCTGGATCTGAGGATCTCTTATCTCCCGCTTTTCGAATTGCAACACATGCAGATGGTTGAACAGAACGGAGAGTCAGGCTTGCCTCAAAATAGCTTGCTGGTTCTCAAAAACAATGCATGAGGGACTGGAGCTAACCTGGACCCATCCCTTGTGGCCTCCTCACGGAGTTCTCCACTGGTTCATTCACACACTTCCTGACTGAGAACCGGGCGGTGCGACTCCCGCAAAGGTCGACAATTTCAATCTAACCCCCCCCCCCCCATTTGCCCATTCAAGACTTTTATATTGGGTTGGTGGACATAAAGAGGGCCCCCATTCCGGACACCCTTCCAAAAACATGCATATGACCTTCTTTTTGGGTTCCTTTGAAACCACCAAAAAATATATATTATATAACTATCTTGAAACAAAAGGCACGCCCATGTGAGCGCTGTCGCGACTGGCCTGGCCATAGCCTGGTCGCCAGGATGGGCCAAATCAGCTGACGCAAGAGCCCCGCCTGGGGCTCTTCATGCTCTTCCTGCTGCAACTGACCAGCGCCTCGATTTTTCCAAGCGGGAGAGAGGCAAAAGCGGCCAGGGCGGTTAAAACAAGCATCGGAATGCGCGGAAGACCGTTTTCTCTTTGCTTTTGAGAGGAGCCCCCCTCCCCTTTTTGGGAAGACCACCCAATTTGGGGGGGAACCGCTGAATTTGTGTTGAGGGACACTTTTTTCACTTGAGTGGAAGCCGCGCCGTCTACAATGGTCCCTTCTTTTCTCAACAACCGTAGCTTTGGGGGCTCTTGAGCCAGATTGAAGCCAGGGAGGTTTCGAGGGCACAAGTTGCTTTTGGAGCTGTTGGGGAGTATTTGCCTGTTGGTTTTGATTTTCAGGTTTGCGGTTTAGCTTTGGCCAACATGCTGCAGAGACCCTGGTCCATGTATATGTGAAGGAAGGAGCGCGGTTGAAACACTAGTGCTTAAAGCAGATGATGTTGACATTTTCATGATCCATATGACGCGAGTTTTCAAGTTGACTAGCACGCAGTGAATCACTTTTTGCAGACTTAGCTTGACCGAACCAGTTCTAGCATGAGCCAGCTGAACTTCGGGCTTCGGACATGATTTGGGGGGGGGGGTTTACGTCGTGCCGCGAGGCTTTATCATCATCCTGCTTATCATTGCTGCCATTGCCTCCATCGTGGTGAATGCCACCAACGAGGGCAAACGCCGGGCGCCTCAGCGTACTCGGCCCTGCCGCCGCTGCTCGGTTGGAGTTGTGTTTTTCTTTTTTACATGGGGTGGGCAAGGTGACGAGGTCTGGCGAAACACGGAAAATCAGGCTCACTTCCCGAGCATCTGGACTTCAGGACCAGAGGTAGACAAGTTTAGGTTTCTTTGGCACCGTTGAATCGACCGGATCTGACCTTTTGGTTTTCCCATGGTCCATTTGCTGTCAGAGTCCCAAAAGGTGATCACCTTGTATTTCCAGGTCCGACAAGGGCAACTTGTCAGTTCAGCTATAAGCGAGCAAATGCAGGAATTCTCTGATGGTCTCTTCTTTTCAGCTCTTGGCATTACACCGCGCAAAGATACCATCTCCCTTTCACGCATCACTTCTCAATTTGGACGGGCGAAAACCATCCCTTCCCTATCACTCACCAGCTCAAAGGTGAGTGAATGGGTGGAGAATGGACAAGCGGGGAGGGAAGGAGAGAGATGAACCATTAACAATTACCTACCCTTCAAGGAACTCCCAACATTATAATCTCGGAAATGCAGTTCGGAATGAACAGGTACTAGTAGGTAGTGAGAACTCTACCGCTGGACGGAGGTTCCACCAGAAGACAGACCGTTCCTTCCCTCTCCTTCGTTCGCTCACTCACTCTATCCCTTTCCAACCCACCTTGCCAGTCTATATTACTTAGGAAGTGGACAAGGAAGGGTGAATGGAGATGGACAGCCGCTATTCTCTTTCTGAGGCTTGCCCTATCTCTTGGTATCTTCGCCTGGCGGTGTAATCCCAAGAGCCCCTACAAAAGGATTCTGATGGCACCTTCATGTCGGTTCATCTTGGATGGACAGGAGAATGGAGGGAGAACCATCCTTTGCACTCATATCCAGTCCTTCATTTTTTCCTCTTCGTTGCTGTAATGATATCATTATCTCTTTTTTCCTTCATCTCTCGTTCTCATGAAATCTCTGCAAAGAAGCTTGACAGGGAATAGGAAATGAGATAGAATCCGAATGACATGAGATGAAGAGAGAAATGGAGGTAGAATGATAGTGATGGACCGGAAACGTTCACTCTCCTATGTCTCAAATGTGTCAGAGGTATTAACTGGTAAATAATTATTGGGTGAGGAAAGGATAGAAGAGAAGGGACAGGATAGAATCTCTGAGATATAGCTCTTGTCTAAGAGGTATCCACCGTTCCTTCGTGAATTTCCAAATTGAAGATGTGAGGCATATTATATACATTGATAAAACCAAACATAGGACCATAACAAAGATATAGACAATCACTACAAGTTAATAAGTTGTTGGCCCGAGTGGCCAACCACCTAGAACAGTGAGTGGGGTTCTGGGGTTCTGGGGTTCTCCATTTGCTTAAATATATTTCCTATTGTCTCCATTGGTTTTAAAGGGAATCTAGCACTACTGGACATATAGTGCTTCTTTTTCACGGGACGCATCCGCAAAAGGAGGGGTTTGGGCGCTGGCGCGGGGAGGTGATGAGATCCTTTCATACACCACCGGCATGGCGATCTTCGTGCTGGTGATTCTGACGCTTCGGCAAGTACGAGCGAACGCCTCAAATCGGACGCGGGTGTTGCTTTTGATTTTGCCTTAAAACCAACCAAAAAAGGGGTTCCCTGCAAAACAGACAGACCCAAATCCACAAGACTGCAATAGGATCCCTCAGTTCAGGATGGGAAGTGCAGCCTTCTTGGAGCAGCCTTCTTTGGAAAAAATGTCGAAGTTCCGTGGCAAAACACTTGGCAGGTTTTCTAGGTTTGTTGGTGTTTGGGTGGCAGTGGGTTTGGGGCAGTTTTCGGTTTGTCGCAGCTCACTGGAATCCCAATGGAGAGGGTTTGTACCGCTAGAATGGTAGGTACACACCTGACAGCAAAGACCCAAAAGCTCCTCATCAAATCTCTTTGGGGGGCAGCACGAGAAGGGGAAGGCATTCAAGTCTTTTCAGGGTGAGCCAGCCATCGTTCGTTTCCAAAGCAGCTGCTTTCCGAAAAGAGCGATCCCTGGAAAGAGTCGAGAAGGCGCCCCTAAAGATTGCAAGGCTGAGCCAATTCCTACAAACTCGCGGACCTGAAGCAAGGCATCCCTCACAAAAGCGGCGCCCTTTGTTGTTGGGGGAAAGATCGCCCGTTTTACCCCGCCGGATTTGTGGAATGAGGGTGAACATGGTTTTGTCTCCATCTGGGAGACTCCCAAAACAGGTGGTTTCCTTTGGTTTCCCCATGCAAGAAACATTTCATGGGGAAGCCCTTCAAACATGGGTGAGCACAATTCATGTCCTCATGCCCACCCAGATTCTCCGAACAGATGTGGGAGAAAGCTCGCGAATACAGGCCCAAGGTGGAACACTTGGAACCAATTTCTGTGATACCAAAAGCCCAGACCCCTTTCAAAGTGACAGCCGCCAGATGCTCATGGACCCTTCTAGGACACGTCCGACCCCTCAAAGCCAAAGTTATGGAGCCGTTGGGAAGTAGTCATCGAGGTGGCCTACTTTGGGTTATCAACCACTCACCTTGTTACAAGGGGGAAACCCAAGTGGCTAACCACTTAACTGGCAAAAAACATCCAAGTACCTTGGTGTCGCAGATTTTTGGGGATCTTTCACAACCCAAATGGTCTACATGTTCTGCGGGCAGGGGCCTGGCTTCAACAGTTTGCGACCTGATGGTTTGTCTAAGGCCCTTATACCCCAAATGGACGGCACCGCAAAAACAGTAGGTGTGAATGGGAGCCATGCAATCTGGTCACTATTGGCACCAGTGCTTATGTCTTTTTGGAGCCGCTGACCTTCCTGGTTGGCTCCCCTGCGGCGGGTCAAACCCGCCTAAACTGCACGGCCCTTTGCGCTCAGGAACGCCGGCATCGCGGCCTACACGGAACCTTTTCCCGATTCGATGTCGAGCAACCGGAGTTGACGGAGGGAACCCAACAGTAGGCTTGTTTTTTTTTGGCCTTCAACCCCAAGGGTTGTGCTCCGAGCAAGGCACATCCATATGTCATCAGATCTCCAAGTGAGTGAGTATTATAATTGGAGTCTACTGCTAGTTTAGGGAGGACAAGGGGGACAACACGTTTTCCACAAGAATGCGGGGGACACCCCAATTTGTGCATGTCCTCCTGAACAAGTGATGTTTGGTGTCATTTTTTCTCTCAAGCGGCGGTCCCCCGCCGGGGTTGGTTTCATTCTTAGTTTCATACTTTTTTGAAGCCATCCAGAAAGATAAAGGGGTTTGTCTCCAAATAGCTAAACCCCAGAAAGGGTGTCCTTTTGGTTTAAGGGAAACCAACCAAAAGGGGGGATAGACCCAGATATTTGGTGCGGCCATAGCCTAGCAGCCTAGTGACGGGCTATGACCTTTCCATCGCCGCGCTGTCGCCGGTTTCCCTCGCTTTTCCTTTCACTCCCCTACAGTTGAACATGGACTTCTTGAAAACCCGCCCATGTTTGGCGGAATCTTCTATAAAAAGGGGGGGAGACCGGATGTTCGTTGCCAGCCAAGTTTTCTGTGATCTAACCCACTGGGGTTACCCGATCCAGGCAAAATCCAACTACCCCCTGAAGCTCTCAAATCCCAGCCCAAACCCTTCGAACAACGTTTAACCTGGAACTCCCAACTCCCACCTCCCTCCCACGTCCCAAACCGATCCGCGCCAAAACCGATCCGATCCGAGGAGCACCAGGCGGGGAACGCGCTGGACGCCTTGGCCAAGCTCTCGCAGCCCGAGGTCTCGGTGCTGCGCAGCGGCGAGCGGCTCTCGGTGCCCACAGCGACTCGGATGAGCGGGGGATGCGGGATCTGCGGATCTGGGGCTGGGCACCCCAGTAGCGCCCTTTTACCGTTTCTCTTTTGGGGGAGGGAGCACCTACTAAAATGGACTACAGAAAAAAGGACACCCTTGTTCTAGCCTCTCTACTGGAGGACCTAGGCTTCTTGGGATGGTCTTTACAAGTTGCGTCTCTTTTTGTTTTTTGTCCGTTGAGGGGTTGTTCTTGCTATTTCAACTACCGAAAAGCCAGTGAGGGTCTGGGATAGGACGGGCTATCATGTCTAAATGGGGTTCTCAAAAATGGGTGGACAGAAATCAAACCGAAATGATGTCCACCAGGTCCCCAATTCAGATTCATGCCCAAACGATATGTGTAGCCCTCCAGACTGGTGCAGGTTTCGGGGGAGTGTCCAACCCAAAGCCTGGCTTGTGGCGCCCATCCTCGTTTCAGGTGGGGTAGCTTCTCTTCCGGTTGCAAAATTTTGGCAACGACCGCGTTTGGGTGTGTCTTTTTTCAGGGGACCCCTTTTCTTTGCGGTTTCCCTTTAAAGCAACAAAACGGGTGCCCTCGAAGAAAGACGCGTTCCGTCACCCCCTGGCGGGTTTCCTTGTGGTTTCCCCTTGAAGACCACGAAAAGGGTACCCTACAAAAAGAACACACCAGTGTCGGGGAGGTTGCGACCACACCCATGAGGTTCCGTCAGGTTTCTTTTGGCCTGTGAAATATTGTATGCCCAGATAGGATCCAGCCGAATCTTCTACTTTTGGATGGTTTTCTGAAAATAATTATCGTGGTTGGACGTTCCAACTGTTTGCTCAAACCGTTTTCGGGGGAGAAAATGCTTCGCGCCACCCGCCTCAGTGGTGAACAAGAAACACCCACCTAAATGACGTCCAAGAATCTTCAATTAAACTTCACACCCCTTTGGTTCCCATTTGAAGAAGCAAATAACAAGGCCTTTCAGAACATAATGTGAGCAAACTGGGACGGACGATGTCTCCACTTGGGCGAGTTTGAGGTGGACGTGGTGCGGGGGGACATTGTGCTCCTGGAGACGGGGGACGTGGTACCTGCTGACCTGCGCCTCATCGAGGCTTCGGACGTGCCGCTGGACTAAAATTTGGTGGGCGTTTTTTTTTTTTTTTTTTTTTTTAATTGTTTTTTGGGGGGGGTTTAAAGGGAGCCAAAAGGAGCCCTACAATTTGTATCCTGTTTTGGCTCATACCCCATGAGTAGTAGGAAGGACACATGTCGACCCCGGATGAATTCGCTCATCCCATTAATAGGGGGGGTTACAGGTTGCTTGCTTGCTTGCTTGTTTTGCTCGGCTTTGCGGCGCCTTGTTTTGCTTTGCCTTGGTTTGCTTTGCTTTGCTTGCTTGCTGGCTTCGTTGGCCTCTGTGCATGGTTGCGCGGCTTTGGTTGAAAGGGAAGTCAAAGGAACACCGAGACATACGTTTGGGATCCCCCTGTTTCGAGGCATACCCAGATGGATTGGCACAATCAGTAGCCTGTCGCTGTCAAGGGGCAACGAACGAGAGGTCGTTCAAGCTTTTTTGAACAACAGGGGACGGAGCAACGTTTAAACAAGGGAGTGACCCAACCCATGTGGCGGCTGATCCGCCTGGGCGAACAAATGGGGGGAAGGAGGATGAATTAAGGATCCTTAGGCCCAAGCGGCTGATTCCCCTGTGCGTGGGCTGCCCTGCCTGACTTGGAAAACCGGCAGAGAGGCTTGGGGAAAGGGAGGTTGGAATTCCGCAAAAGAGTTGGTTGTGGCGCCAAACCCCAAGTGAAGTGCCGGGTTTCCAGTTGAGTTGAATCCGACCCGGCCCCCTTTCTCCCTCATGTTCCTTCCGTTTCAAGGTTTTGTGTTGGAGAAACTTGTACAAGGGGGTACCCCTTTGTTTTTCTTTGACACCCTCACAATAGACACACCTCACACACGGCCTTGCTTTGGTGGAAGGGTTCATCAAGTGGATTCGTTTGTGGCTTCCCAAGTTTCTCACGACATACGCAAGCAAAAGTGGGCATTTGAGTTTGTCGCAAAATGGCCCCCCCCAACAAGTTTTTTGCACCTCCCTTTCGCTAATCCAAAAAGAGTCCGGGGCCCCAAAGACTTGCTGGTGCTCAGCAGGGACTGAGGACATGACCCTTATAAACCATCCCTTGTGGTTTCCTTTAAGGAGATTCCCCTACCTATCGTACCAGGAAGAAAGACAAAGCTAGCTGGAGGGGTTCTGAGTGGAGCCGACTAGGAAGGTGGACGAAAAGGCTCTCACCGGGGAGCCGGACGACGTGCCGGCGGCCCAGGAGAGAGGGTTCTCTGTAGGTCTGCAGAGTTGAAACCTAGCGACCAAAAAGCAGTCCGGAGCTTTGTTCTTTGCCGAAGTTGGCTCAAGTGTGTGTGTGTGTGTGTGTGTGTGTGTGTGTGTGTGTGTGTGTGTGTGTGCGTGTGTGCGTGTGTGTGTTTTTTAAGGGGGGAGCCCCCAAAATGGTGGTTCAAGTTGGATGCCTCATTTAGCTACCCAAGATAGCCGGCACCACCAAAAGAAGAAACCTCTAGACAACTTGGACGTCCGTAGGTCGAAGAATACGAAGATCAAGGAGCAGCGGCCCGGCAAAAGGGAACTTGGGGCGTTTTGGCGCGGCTGGGATGGCCACTGTGAAACGGGAGATCTGTGGTTTCGGCCGCTGCGCTTCAACAAACAGACATGTACTGAGAGAGGGGATGGGGGGAAGGGCGGTGGGGGGAAGAGGTGGGGTGGGGGGGTAGAGGTGGGGCGGAGGGTTTGCGGATTTGGGAATTTGCAACTGTTTCTTGTAGCATGCTCAACACTTTTTGTTGTTTGTTTTTCAATCAAGCTGCAACTCCCTGGCAACCCAACACCGTAGATATGGAGTAGCTGGACTCTGGGGTATGAACACTCTGGTTGGGGACCACTGGACGGGGTTTGAACGGGCAGCCAAGAACCAACCAGCTCAAAGGAAGGCCATTTTCTAGAGGTGTGTGTTGTCAAAGCGTACCCTTTTCAGGTTGATTGAAAGGAACACCAAACGGAAAGCCATCATTTTGTGGGTCCCCCTATTTTGAGACATGGAAGTTGATCAAAAGGTCCTTGCGTGGGATGATCATTGGCGAGAACCACTAAAAAGATGATACTTCTCACCAAATGGGCAAAGTTACCCATGGTCATTTGGCGGCCAGGAACATAGATCAACCACCACGATCAGGGGTCTCTAGATTTCCGCCACCGCAATTTAAGACCCCACCGCGAAAAAACACCCACATGACTTTTTTGGCTGGAGTTGGCGCGTTGCGCTTTGAAAGGCCAAATTGAGTTCGGATGATGCTCGAGGACATAGTAAGGAACCCTGACGGACCCCTGAAACCAACGGGGGAACGGGCCGTTGCTGGGAAGGTGGACAAATGATTTTAAAGTCCTTTACCGTCGGTCCTTGAGTTTATTGACTTTATACTTTTTGGGAAGCCACTTTTCGCGGCAAACAACTAGTGTTTTTTTGGGGGGAGGGGCCGCCAGCATTTCCTGTCTGAGAATAGTATATTGCCCAGATACTTTAGCAGTCCCCGCCGCCTTTTAGCACTGCCTGGTCACCTTGGCAGAGAAGAATGTGGGTTTGTCCAACCATATGAACACCCTTCCCAAACAACAAAAAGAGGTCTTTAAGCCTTTGGTTTCGGTTTGAAACCCCCAAGAGTTGCCCTAGCTAGTCACACCAGGGCCCAACCTTCCAAGAACCTTCCATATCGTTTGGGCATACTCCGGAGTCCTATGAACATAATCTTACTGGGGGGGGCTGGGGTATGCTGAGCAGGTATGTTGGATTTTCACCTTTTGGTTCTCCTGTTTTCGTCCATTCCCAGGTTCGAGTGCACATCCCCCCTTTTTATCCGCGAAAAGGAGGCACACCTCGGGGGGCAGCCCTCTCGCGGGAGAGAGACGCAGCGAGGACCAAACTCACACCGGAGAACATGGTCTTCTCAGGCTGCCCCGTGGCCAGCGGCAAGTGCAAGGCCCGCACCCGCAAAAACTGGGAGGGTTGAAACAGCGGGAGGGGGTTGGGATGGGGTGGGGTGTTTACCTGTTTTTTTTTGGTTTAATGGTTGGGTTTCGGGTGTTGGAAGAAACAAAGACCGTTCAAAATAAACACCCAAAACCCACTTTTGAGAACATCCCAGTGAACGTAGATTTCAGCCTCGGGCTTGAACTCTCACCGAGCGGTCCCCTTTTTTGGTCGCCGTCACCTGTTTGAAGATGTCTTTTGCGAAAACCTTGTTCTTTCGGGGGGGGGGGGGAGGAAGGAGCTTTTGTTTGGGGTGATGTTGATCGGCAGCCTCAGTTGAGAGCATGCCGGACTGCGAAAGGAGGGACGTAAAGTGGGTCTAGAGAAGGAAAGGGGAAGCCATCCCAGCTCGATTCCTCCTTTTGGCGGTACTTATTGTAAACAGGTGACGTAAGAGGAACAGGGAACCCTGTCCGCAGTACTTGGTAAGAAACCCTGTTCGCCTTCTATAGCGGTTCGCTGCAAGGTTTGCGGTTGTTTTTTATGGACAGTGAGTGTCACTCCCTGTGAATTCGACTGTACGTGGTTCGATTGTGCTGCACTCTCCTTAGAGAAGCAGTGGTCACCAAATTGTTTGCTTTGACTCATGCTGGTGCTTTACGTGACTTGCAAGCCAAACTTTCATGGTCAGCACCCACCTTCCTTGTGACAAGTTTTTGTTTGCAGAGCCTTCCCCGATTTGTAGCCAGGAGTTGATTCCGGGACAAAAGGAATCACACCATGGAACAGCTTTCAGAAGACCCACATGAACACAACCATTTTGCAAGGTCCTGTTGTTGGTTTTGTTTTTGCACATGTTCATTTTGGGTTCTTGGGGTTTGGTTCGCGGCGGTGCCATTTGTCGGGGTTGTGTCCGTGTCAAAATGGCGATTTGGACCGCCCCAAAAATAGCACCGCCGCATCTGGGTGAAGGGATGAGTTGCGATTCCCGAGCAATTTGCAGGGTGTGGTGGTGGCAACTGGCATGGACACCCGCATCGGAGAGATTGCGAAGATGATGGCGAACGAGGACACCAAGGTGCCAAAGACTGGACATGGCCCAGTTTCCCCGGCGTTTCTTGGTCAGTTTGATGGTTTTCCCACAGATTTTGTCTCGGTGGCAAGGGTTCCCAGAAAGGTATCACAGATCGGAACCGCCTGCCGGCACTTGGCCATGGACCACCTAGCTGTCGTTTTTTTTTTGAGGGTACCCTTTGCCGGGCTTTCAAAGCCAAATTTTCACACACCCATTTGCCCACGGGAGAAGGAAGCACACCTTTGATTCTTTTGAAGGAGAATCCCCCAGCCTTTGCCCTGGCAAAAGTCGCCTTCTGAGGGAGCACTGGTGGGCCCAAAGTTAGATGCTACCTCTGTATTTTTCTGTTCAACATTGCTCCAGAGGACAGCCCCTCTTCAAGGGCCCAAAAGGTGATGCTTCAAGCAAGCAAAGGGATATGTACTTGGGTGTTCGGCCATGGTAACCTAGGTTATAACCCACTCAAAAGTCCCCCTTAGTGGGATGAACTTTCTCATTATGGAGTGGCTAGGGAGCTATTGCACCACCACTGTTCAACAAAGATTCCCAGCATGGCATGGATAGGAAACATTCGTTACAACAAACATCCCTTATACCTCTTTTGAAGCAAAGCCATTTTTGAAGGTTGCTCAACTAGCAGCGGCTGGAACATGATTGAACTAAGCAGGAAGTTGGCCCAACCTGGTTCCCAGTGGCTTCCAGGAACGTCTAAAAGCACAATCGCTTTTCGTCGGTTGATGTGCAGCGGCTAGGGCATAACGATACATTTCCTGATCATTCGACTCCCTGAAAGGCAGCCAGTCAAAAAGACCCCCCCAAAAAAACAAACAAACAACAAAACAAACAAACAACACGAACATACGCATCAGGTAAGCCCTAGTTGGGGAACCGCTAAACCCATAGCGTTGGAGCTGAGACCCCATCGATTGGTTTGGATTTGGATTAGAACCCCTAGCTTTTGTGGGGAGAAGCCGGCCCGGAACACCTCCAAATCCAATGAGAGACGTATCCCTAGAGCCTCACGCCAGGACTTTTGGAGGCCTGCGACATTCCGGTAGGATACATCCCAAAACTGGCTGTAGAAATTCGGCCTAGCTGGCCAAAGTGTCTAATTTGGCCCGGAGGTATCCTGGGAGGGACCGTGTTAGCCCAAGGATATGTGGGGAAGCGCCCTTTCTGATCGTCAAAAGCCTTTAGTTGGAGGCATCCACACACAGTGGTTGCATTTCCCAGGACCCTGAGATTCATGTGTGGAGCGGGAATTCGATATTCAACATATCACCGAGTTCTTTGGTGTTGGCTGGTAAGTTCTGCTTGGAGAACAGCCGGTGCTTTCTTGCGGCAGGCGGCTTTCCGTAGTGGAAACCCTTTCAACAGGTCCACATAGACAATACGAAGGGCCCTTTAAAGGCCCAACATACGGCGCTAGCGTCCGGGCCCCGGAATTTCCCATGGGAAGTCTCAGGGATGTTTTCCAGGTTTCTCACAACTTCCCCTGGCTCCCTACAATCGCTTGCCCAGACGCACCCAAGATTCCTCGTCCCGAATTTCGGTTTCGCTTGACTCGACGTTTCCGTTTTCCGTTTTCCCCATTGCGAGCGAACTCGAATCCCCGAGACGAGCGGCGGATTGTGCGACTGCCTGCCCGCGTCCGCGGAGAACAAGACGCCGCTGCAGGAGCGAGTGGGGGGGGGCTGCTGGAAGTCCAGCCGGCTTCGAGATTCGAGCGCTCCAGGTGCGATTCAATCGGGTGTTAAATAGCAGCCAGATTTAATTGTAAGTTACCCAAAAGGACGCCAAAAGGGCATGGGTATTTCTGGTTCACGGGCTTTCAGATGTCTAAAGACCTTTACGCCACCAACCTCCTTTAGCAACCTAGCAACCTGTCGGTTTCCCGTTAAAGGGCCAACAAATTGAATGGTACGTGAAGAAGACCAAACTAATTCACGATCATAGGAGAATGCCTGTAATCCTGTATCCCCTTAGAGTGTTGTTCAAACAGGACCCTTTGTTTGACCCCCCCAACGGAAATAATGAAGGGGCTGAAGACTGGGACCCTTTCGATCAAGACGCCTTAACGGTTGGTACACAGGTCCGGGTTCTATTTGATTTCTCGGATGGACTCAATCGGGGATGTCGCGAGGATCGGTATTTCTTGGTGAACATTTACTTGGCGTGAGACAAGGAAGCCTGTGACCCCAACCCCCTAAGGTAGTCATGGGGTTTCTCTCCTAATGGGATATGTAACTCCCAAAATGCGCGCGGTGTCCTCTCGCTTTCCCTTGAACGCAAGTCCCAAATAAGGAAAGAAGCTGGCTAGTGGTTGTCTGGGAACTCAAATACTACTGTTGCCTTGGTGGCGATTGTGACATGTCCTTTTGGCTGATCCTGTTCTGGCTGCTTTCGTACATGGTACACGAGAAATGAAATGATTGGGGTTGCATTGCAACCCTCCCAAAACTCATCAAAGGCATTTCCTGAAACCCATCCGGGGTATATGAATTAGGTTACCATACCTTGCCGTGGAACCCAACAAAAGGAGCGAACCGTGCAGAACCCCCCTCTCCCTGGGCTGTCCATCCGTTCATTTGCAAAGGGTTGTTCCGTGCGTCCACACAATGACGAAACCACTACGTTTGGGTAGAATTCCTTTGGTTTTCTGTTGCCAGCCAACATTCTACCCTAGCAATTGGCAAGGTCTTTGAGCATCTTTGTGAAATCTGACAGGTTTTGATTCTCACTCATATGGTCAACCACTGAAGATCGTCCTCCATTTTGAGCGGTGGCCATCCCCCTTACTCACGCACAGATAGCAGGGAAGTGTGGCATCTGCCAACTTCAGAATAATCTGGAGGACCCTACTAGAGGAACCACCCAAACTAGATGCTTCCTTACTAAAAGGGGGACCACCCCCCCTTAGTTTGGTCCGGACGATCTGAAGTTGATACTTTCACCATGTACCACTCCCAGACGTGCCCAGGTCGCCGCCGAACTTTGAGGTTGGGAAATCAAAAGGCACCTCCATTTGGGTGTGTCGTTTTAGGTTTCAGACCCCCAAAATGGATTTCGGTTTTCCTGTTTGTTTCTCTTCAAGGCCACCAAACATGGGGTAAAGTCAACCCCCATTTTGTGGGCATATTTTGAGGCAAACAAGATGGGCGATGCCCTTGTGCTGTCTTTGACCCAGTGGATCTGTTCAGCTTTCAACGGGTTCCTTAGGTGAAATGGACTCACTGGAGCATGACCCTCCTATCTCGCTTTTTGGAGGAAGCCCACCCCCTTTTTGGGTTGGTTGTTAAGGAAACCTTTGTGCAACCCGCCCCGCTGTCACAAAAGAGGAGAAACCTTTGAGGTATTTTGAGAAAGTTTGCGTCTCTTTGGGGCATTTTTCTGTTCGATTGACTGAGCCCCATTCGCAGAAGACTGGGAACGGAGTAGTAAAGCCTGGTTGATGTGTCCAATTCCTTGTAGTGGGGGTTCAGACCACTTTTGGAAGGAACACGGTTCTATGTATTTCCGGGGTTCTCATTTGGAGAGCCATTTTTCCTTTCGTAGGGTAGTTGCCGTGGTTTCCGACACCTGGGCGCTGCCAAGGAGTCAGGGATCGTTCAAGAGAACAACCAAAGTAGGCCCAACATCGGCCATTTTAGTGTCAAACAACAAAGGCTTAGACTCTTTTGGGCTATGAGGAGAATGTGGAAAGCCTGGGTGCGCGTATTGGCATCCTGGCCATCGTCATCTGCGCCGTGGTCTTTGTCATCGGCCTGCTGATCGGCACCAAGGCCTTTCGCAAGCTGCTTTGTGGGGTGTCCTTCGTGGTGGTTTGGGCCTGGTTGTTTCAGAATCTACCAGGGCCATCTATTTTCCCACAAAGGACAGCTGTGCATTTGGGTGTACATTTTTACTCCCTTTCGAACTTGAGTCACTTTTCGAGTTTGGACCATTTTATTGGTTCTCACAAAGCTTGCCCTTTTGGGGGCGGGATTAAATTGAAACCAAATGAAACCGAAGTCCGTTTTGGTCCGTGCCTCCTAACAAAAAGGCACACCCATCAGACTGGAACCAGGGATTCCGTGAGAGCCAAATGGACCAAGGGTCGAACTTTGGTATTGTTTCCTTTGGTTTCTTTTTTTGTTTCTCCTGTTTCCCTTTTGGTTGCCTCCTGTTTCCCTTTGGGTTTCTTTCCCTCAAGCTTGGACCCTTGACATTTGGCATGTACCTGCCCGGAGTTTTCTGAAGCTTGTTCCTGTATTTTAAAGTAGACCAACTATGAAGCAACATTTGCACATGTTTGTTTTGGAGCACCCATCCCACTGCTCTTCCAGGCACTTCGGCGCTTCGGCACGATAGGTCACCCTTCGGAGTTTTTGCCAGGTTTTACCATGGATGATTTCCAGTGGTTATAGTGGCGCAACGAGAAGTCCTGACCCCGCAAAATTTGGGGATGGTACTGACTTCAGAAATTTGAAATTTGTTGTTTCGGGGTCCAAATCTTACCGAAACTTCTCCTCTAGGACCCCGAGTATCCGGAGAACCCGAGCTGGATCTACATGATCCTGATCGCCGTGACCCTGGCGGTGGCCGCCATCCCCGAGGGCATCCCGCTCTGCGTGACCATCAGCCTGGCCATCGGCTGCCAGGCGCCGATTCGAAGGGTGGGGGGCCCGGATCCTGGTTTTGGGTTTGGCTTTTTTGGGGATCCCCAAGAGGGCCTTTTTGCTGCAGTACTAGGTCCGGCGGGTGCCCGCAACTCTACGAACCAAAACCTGGGCGTATGTATTTTGCACAAAAAGCCATTCTGGCCAGAACTTTTCCGCAGGAATCCCCCCCAATGGGAAGTGGGGTTGCGCGTTGCTGCACTTACTTCTACTATCGAGGAAGCCTTAGGAAGGAAAATTCGTGTTTAAAGCTCCGGTTCTAAAGGGAAGCCAAAAAGAGACAAAAGGGAAGCCAAAAGTTTTGACCACCCATTTCTTGGGTTCCACGATTTTGAGGCAAACCGGAAATACGAACAAAGCACAAAGGAGGAGTAGTTTGGGCTGGGCTAACTAGGCGGTATAACTTCCTGGAGAATTTCCTGGAGATGGCTTCGAGAAGTACCTAGTGCATCGAAAGGGGCAAATGAGCTGCGCCCAAAACTGACTGGGGGGTGGGATTCACTGGTCAATTCGATTCATCCATCCACCGATTTCACCGGGTGTCTTGTTTGGGTGGATCCTGAGCCACATCAACTAGAATTGGGTTCCTATATGGCCATGGGGCAAGAACCTATGGCTCCATTTTGGGGTGGATGAACATCCATTTGCCAGCTATTTCGATGTTCACCAGGGGTTTCCAGGGTTTTGACCCACGGCCATATGCGTTTGGCCCTCCTGGATAGAAAAAGCAGCTTGGCCCAGGGAAAGAAAGGGCGGCTTGTTTCTAACTTAGGGGCAGGGAGGGAACTGACCAATCAAAGCACACCGTTCCCTTTGTCAGCCATTGCATTTTTACTTATCTATTTATTTTCGGGGGGTAGAATCAAGAAGTCCTAGCCTGGGTTGTTTCCAAAAGAAATGGAAAGGACACCGACTCTTTGGGCCATTTCCGCACTCTGGTTGGGTGGGGCAGAAATTGGTTTGTTCAACTCGCTCCCTGAGTTCCTGGTTTTTGGGAAGACGGTTGTCGGGATGCATAGGTCCTGACCTGGTTTAAGTCTCGGTTCCGGCAGGAGATGGTGAAGGAAAACGTGCAGGCGCGGGAAGGCGGGAAGGGGGACAGGTCCATTAAGTGGATTCCACCTGTTTTGTGTTTCCCACCAGACATGGAATCAACCCACCAGAAAGGACATGGCTCTCGTTTCCGTTTGATGTTCCTTCCCTAAGTCTCGGCTCGAAGCCTGTCAGCTGGTGGACTAGCGACAGCAGAAGTTCGAGTGCTGGTTCACATGACTGAGCCGCCATGGATGCAGACCCTGGACCAGGGGGTCTTCACCGGGGTGGTTCACGCTGGGGCTCATCATGCCCGTGCTGCCCCTGGAGGTCAACTCCTGCAGCTGCCGGACCAGCTCCTCGCACCAGGCCAATCGGCCACGCTTTACAGCTTCAAGGCCAGTCAGATGGCGGATGGAACCATCCTACTTGCTCGGCAACCTGAATCGCAGTGGTTCCTCCACGAGCCCATCACCATCCAGGCCTACCAGCACATGAAAGAAATATGCGCAGGCATGGGGGGCATTGGCATGGGAGCCACCTCGGCCGGCATCACGCCCATAGCGCACCTTGAGATCAATCCTCTCAGCTGCCAAGCATTGATCCTGAACGGCGCCTCCAACGTCATCCAGGGCGATGTCTGCAACATCGCAGACGTGGCCAAACTACATGGAGCAGGCTCACTACGGCGAACAGTGATCAGTGCGGGCTTCCCTTGCCAACCGTACTCCACTCAAGGAGACATGCAGGGGGCCAAAGACTCACGCAGCTGGACCTTCTTGGCCACCCTGAGGGCGGCGTGGCTTATGCAGGCTCCGGCGATACTACTTGAATGCGTTCCTGCCGTGCAAGGTCACCCCTTCATCCGGGAGAACCTGAAGCTGCTTGCGGACGCGCTCGGCCTCCAGGTGAAGACGCTCACCTTGGCGCTTCAAGATCAGTGGCCATGCCGCCGTGATCGATGGTGGGCACTACTTGCCCCACGAGAATTCGACTTGACCAACCTCAAACCCTGGGCCAAAGACAACCTCCACGGCACCATCGGGCACAACATCCCTGACTGGCCACTGTGGGACAACCAAGTTGAAGAAGAACTACAGCTCACCGAGACCGAGCTCTACCACTACAACAATCATCTCTTCGGTATGGAGACTCGGCTCCTGGAACAATCCGGAATATGCCCCACGATCTTACACTCATATGGCAGTGTGTTCACAAAGTGCCCATGTGGATGCCGAAACGCAGCATTTCGTCCTGAACGACTCCAACGCGGAGGGGTCAGAGGCTGCTACGTCCTTTCCCAGACCACCGGCAAGCCTCGTTTCTTGCACACGGCAGAAGCAGCTCTCCTTTGCACGGTACCACCAAACTTCAAGTTTCCAGGTGGACCCAGGACAGGCCTCTGCCTGATCGGGCAAATTGCGGCCCCTCTTCAAGCCCAATGGATGTGCCTACACCTTGTTCAGGCAACACAGCTCTTCTACGGCTGGGAACCGGTGGTGGAACCCCAAATCCACATCCAACACACCAAGAACCACCTCCAATGGCAACGACACCACCTTTGGACCACTGAACACTCACACGCCACCCGGCATGTGTGGATCAAGGACCAACATGGGCACAACCTTCACGTGCTTCGCGAAGGACACCAGACCGTCCACGACCTTCTTCAAGCCGAGGTCAGGCTCATCGACCCGGGGGCCTGTGTCCAGCTATGGGATGGACCACGGCCGGTCCCACAAGAAGCCACTCTCCAAGATCAAGGCTGGCAAGGCCCCTACACACTCGTCACCAAGCACACCTCTGCTGCAACCACCACAGACATCGAAATAGAGATCACCTTCCACATTGCCCACCAGGCCACATCAGTCACGCTGCCCCAGGGAGCGTACCTGTTCCAAGCATACGCGGCCGGCCACATTTCACCCAGCATCACTCCGGTAGACCTGCAAGGACAACCACTCCGGCTAGACACCAGAATCTGGCAAAACACCGTCATTCCTTGTCGCTCCCCAATCACGGCAGCCGGCGACTCCTTGGAGGGACTCAACGACCAGCAAATCAGTGCGGAGCTCACCTGGATTGCACACCTACATGGGGAGCTTGGTGGCGATCCCTTTCAGTGCCCAGCTCCTCTTCTTATCCAGCACCACCACGACGACGGACCCACCATCGACCACAACACCCTACAACTCCTCGAGCAATGCAACCCACAGCTTCTCACCACCATCATCTTTGCCTATGATGACCATTGGGCGCTCTTGACTACCGTGCCAACCACCACAGGCTTTGCGGCAACCATCTACGATGGTCCACCTGCTCGATCCCTCGCGGGAGGGCACCACTTGGCCCAGCGCCTGGCCGAACTCTGGGAGACAGAACGCACCAGCATTCACAACTTCACAATCTTCGACCAACAAGATGATTGCTCCTGTGGCACAGTCGCTCTGGCACACCTTGGCCACGTTCTCAACCTCTGGCCTGACAACTACCACCCAGACACCACAGCGTGGCATCATCAAGTCCGTGAGGGACATCCTACCACCACGCACATGCACGTCGCCAGAGGCCCACCGCAACTCGCCCTGGACAACACACTTCCCTCACTCAGCAACCTCCTGATCGAAAAAGGAGTTCCTCCTGCCCTAGCGGCAGATCGGGCAGCAGCAGCCATCAAACAACTCGGCACCAAACCAATCACCGACGCAATGCACTCCAAGAATCCTTGGAGCGTTTTGAAGTCACTGGGCAACAAGCCAGCACACCCATTCCTATGGGTCAAACCCGAGGAACTCATGGTCAAAATCCAACAACGAGCATCCACACAATACGGGATCTCCACCTCAAACAAGAAAAAGACCAGGGACAGCACTGACACTCAACGCCACCGACCGGACCCTCAACTCGATCCCAGCGAGCTACAGCTGATACCCAACACCTTTGTTGGAGAAGACGGTATCCCGGTTGATCACCTCCATATCAGCTCTGTCGGAAAGGGCAAAACCGGCATTGCCTTCGCCACCGTCCATCAGGCAATGCCATACCTACAGGGAGCAGAACAACTCAGCGCAGGACCTCTTGCAATCCTTACAACCACGCCAGCGCCATCCATTTCGACTTTGGTCGCCGAAGACCTCATGTACCCTGCCATGCACGCCAACACACTTGAGCCTCTGCTCATCCACGGCAGCCTCATACAACTCGGCAAAGTGCTCATAACTTGACCAGCTCTTCGGCAACCTCCCGACATGGCCCCAATCGGCACCAACACAATCAAGCTCGCGGTCTACCAAGACCTATGGCAGGGGGACTGGCAAGTCTTCATCGAGGGCCCCATGAAGCAGGTCATGATGGCCTTCCCCATCCTCACACTCTGCAAAACACCAGGATGCGGAAACTCCTGCCAGAAATTCCACCCACCTGTCGACGAAGACCATCTCGACAACGTCATCCTTGACATCTGGGGCCGACAATGGGCCAGCCCATCTGGGGCCAGAGTGAACAAAGACAAGGCGGTATGCTGGACGGCGCTAGTTCGAGTCCCTGAGGTCATTACTCCCAACCTCCTCGCCCTCTCAGGAACCAACGGGCTCTTCATCGACCCACGCGACCAATCCGGCAAAGCGCCGGACGAGCGCTATGGAGTCATCTGGCTACCAGGAGCCACGCTCCAAATTGCACACCACAAGCACCGCACCACCGAGGGATCCATCTCGGTCATCCGGCTTAATGACCGCTACGGCCTGCGGTTTAACACTGCACAACTGCCCCAGGCACACCACACAAAAAAGCCGGACGAACCCTACCTGCAGGTCAAGGTAGCAGACATATACAAGCTTTTCCCTCTGCCACATGGCACTCAGCGCCAAGGCCTCATCAAGTCACTCGCATCCTGGGGATGGCGCGCAAAACCACTTCAACCCTGCAAGGGCGACCACAACGGCATTGAATGGGAAATCGGCGCTGAATCGGCACCCCCAATCCGACCAGCTGCAACTTGGTTGCGTTCGACCGCACCCAGAAATTTCTTCACAGCAACAACGAGCCGTCAGCCGCCTCCTCTTCCACACAACGGACCAACGACCCCTGGCAAGCCGGGAAAGACCCATGGTCCCAATGGTTCAACCAACACCCCCTCGACGGCAAATCCGCACCAGGACCACCAGCCGCAGACAGAATCCAGCAGGCCGAGGAACGCATCAAAGCAGACCTACAGGCCACATTCCAAAAGCAGCTTGACTCCCATTGGAGCAGCTGGGACGGAGATCACGACATGGAGACCTCTGACCAGACTCGCTTCGAGACCCGATTCCACCAGCTCGAAACCAATGTTGCGGAACTCCAAAAGCAAAACACCAAATTCGAGCACTGGTTTACGGAGGCGGCCACTGCCAATGCAGCCACCAACTCCCAACTCGCCTCAGTTGCCCAACAGGTCAGCTCCCACCAGACTGAGCTCACGATGCTCAACAAAAGCGTCAATGAGCGCCACGACGAGCTGCGACGGGAAATGTCCCAGGGCTTTGGCAACATCGAGGCCCTTCTGTCGAAAAAACATCGCAAGGAGTGACTACGTCACCCTGGACCCGGCGGACCAGCCCGCCGGGTGCCAGGAACTGCAACCACAACCAGCTGGACCAGGCCACCCCTTGCAACCTGGTGGCTACTCCTACTCAGCCTTATCATGCCTGCGCTCGGAGGCAGTGCCTACGGGACGCCTTCACGACCAGCAGCAACACAGCCTGGGTTTACTCAGCAAACCCCTCTTTCGCCACACTATCAAACCGGCTACACTTGCAGCCTGCGGGACGCTGCACTCAGCCATCATGACAGTGAGCCACCTGGGGCCACAAGCACACTAGCATCCCTTCACGGTCTCTTCCTCGGACCGCTGAAACTTACCCCTCTACCCACGGCCTATCAGCCCAAGCTGGACAACCCGTGGATCAGAGAACCGCCCCAACAGCCATCACAGCTTCGGGCCAATCAGATCTTGAGCCGGCGTTTTGCCACCTTACATATTACCCAATTTTGCATGGGAAGGAGCGCCACCCAGCCATGCCTTGCCTTACCCGGACCTTCATGCACAGCGCGGCCCACCGCGACATTGGGTCGGGCGAAACATTGCTGGACACGCGCATTCCCCATGGCGAGCCACCACATCTGGTACTCCGCTTCGGAGAAGCACTGCACCCAGGACCCACCCTGCGAATCGGCACCACCAATCCCAGCGGCGCCAACGGCAAGTCCCAATACATTGCCGACCTTCCACCAGGCATCTGGAACCTCAGCGAAACACACCTCACCACCGACACCATCAAATCCTTCGACAAGCAACTCAAATTCCACACGAAGGCAGCTCATCGACGGATTCGCACATCGTATGGGGCGCCTGCGCCCCTACGCACCGGATCACAGTCGGCAGGCACGTGGACAGGAGTACTACAGTTTGCAGATCTGCCCACGCAAGCTATCCACGTCCCAAACCTCGCCAACTTCCACCACCAAGGCCGGCTCCACATCTCCAGATTCTGGGCCAACTACTCCCAGATCACAGGCGTCGCCCTATACGGCTGGCCGACCTCGCCAACGTGGCCTGGAGCTCGTGCGCTCACTGAGGACATGCTCCAAACCATCACACAAGAAGTCATGCTCGGCACAGCCGGACTACGATTCGTGGCAGGCGATTTCAACCACAGCGAATCTCTACCATCCATCCAAAGCTGGCTCCAAGCCGGATGGATTGAGATCCAAACCCTGCACCACATGATATCCGGCTTCGCGCCACAGAACACATACCGTGGCATTTCCAGGCCAGACCGTATCTACCTTTCGCCTGAGCTGGCGGCCTACTTCAAGGAGGCACACTACGACACCTGGTTCGCGGACCATGGAGCGCTTTCATGTGTCCTGCAACTTCCAGATCACAACCCCAGCTACTGGGCATGGCCACTACCAGCGCAGATCCCCTGGTCAGACATCGATGTGCCAGCCTGGCACGCAACCTTCGCTGCCTCCACGCCAGACATCCAACAAACCTCCGACCCCACACAGCACTACAAGCACCTTGGGCATATCTACGAGAGCAGCCTGGACAACCACCTCTACCACCAATCACGAACAAAGCTTCCACCTGCCTGTCTTGGGCGTGGCCAACGCCTCAAGCCCACACGACGACAACCGCAGGCCCCTCTTCTGCGACCCAGTCGCCCTGGGGAGGAACATCTGAACTCCGACTTGGTCAGTCGCTCTGTTCTACGCTGGTTCCGCCAACTCCGCCGACTGCAAAGCATGATGCACTCCCTCCAAGCTGGAGGTCAAGGACCCACACATCAACTCTACAGAGCGGAGCTCTGGCATGGTATTGTGCACGCGACCGGCTTTCAGCACGGCTTCCTCCACTGGTGGCCTACTCGCAAGCACCGTTTCCAAGGAAGTCCACCACTCCTCACACACCACATACCCTGCCACGACCACATGACCCTTATCTGCCATGACTACCGCTACAACTTCCGCAGCCTCGAGAGCTGGAATCTACGACAAAAGTCCAATTGCAGTCAGCTCCGATTTCAGCACCACCACCACCGCATCTTCAAAGCCATCAAACCAGCCAGCAGGGAGCCCATCGACCGTCTGGTCGAAAAACAATCAGCCACAATCATCGCCGTCTCTTCAGATGGCACTCAGATCCATGTCGACCAACCTTTGAAGACGACAAGCCCACTCGCTACCTGGCGGGTGGACGGCACTCCAGCTTCAGTTCATCAGCTCACCCCGGACACCTTTGAGGTCGATACTGACCTGCTACTTGTGACGGGCCAAACTCTACACCAGCACAACCACATCACCACAGAGTCCCAAATTCACGCGACCCTTGAACTTTTCTGGCAACAGCGCTGGAGCAAACACGCTGACCTTCCACCTGAAGCCTGGCGCAGAATCACTGGCTTCACAAAAGCTTACGTTCCCAAGGGCATCATTGACCTCCCTACGCTCCAGCTCCCTCAATGGGACCAAGCACTCACCAAATTCAAAAAGCACTCAGCCCGTGGACCTGACGGATATGGCCGTTTGGACCTCGTCAACATGCCAACACCACTCAAGCAAGCACACATCGACCTGTTCCAGCGCATCGAGCGTGGTGAACAATGGCCACAACAAATGCTAACAGGCTTCGCGCACGGCCTTGCCAAGTGCGACGACGCCGAGGAGGTCAACCAGTTCAGACCCATCATCGTCCTCAGCATGCTTTACCGCAACTGGTCCTCCATCCGGGCACGTCAAGCGCTATCCAGGCTCGCCAAACTCATGGACTGCCCTGCATTTGGGTTCTTGCCCTCTCGCGAGGCCCAAGAAGTCTGGCTGCCCCTCCAGGGCCTCATTGAACTCCGAGCGCAACAATCCAGCCCGCTAGTTGGCTGTGTCGCCGACATCGAGAAGGCCTTCAACCACCTCCCACGAGGCCCTATCAAACAAATTGCCAAACACGTGGGCTTCGACACGGACTTTGTCGAAGCCTGGCATCGCTTCTTGACTGGCTTTGCCAGAAGATTCAAAGTTCACGACACCCTGGGAGCCCCTCTCTTCTCAAATTGTGGCTACCCGGAAGGCTGCCCGCTCAGCTGCGTGGCAATGGCTCTCACCGACTGGTGCTACCACTTCTACCAACGACACTTCGCACCTCGGGCAACCTCAATCTCATTCGTTGACAACCTTGAGCTGGTCGCAAACCACCCCGGAGCTCTTCTACAAGCCATAGTGGCCCAGGAAACCTTCCTTGACATGTTCCAACTACAAATCGACTCCGACAAAACCTACCTTTGGGGTCTCCAGGCGGCCCACCGGAAGCAACTCAGCCATATAGGATACCGGGTCAGCCAGAAGGACAAGGACTTGGGTGGATATCCGCTACCCAATGCGCGCAGATTGCAGCTGGCCCACTCCCTGGGGAGGTGCAATGCAACAACCGGGCCGAGCTCTACGCGGTCATTGTTGGTGCACAATGGACCCAACAACAACGCTGCCACACGCACCTGTGGACAGATTCAGCTTACACGGCCAACGGCACCTGGCAACTTCAACACGACAACCACAACCTTCCCTACCACACTCACACTGACCTATGGAGGCGACTCGCAAGCACAATAGCCGACCTCAACCCCGAGCAGTTTCAGGTTCACCACACACCTGCACATGGTTCCCCAGACGACCAGTCCGACCCGGTCGATGCCTGGTTGGCACGTTGGAACAACACAGCAGACACCGCTGCCAAGGCTGCCAACCAGCAGCGAGGGCAGCCATTTCAAGATATTTGGGCAGCCTACGAAAAGGCTGAACTCGATCAACTCCATCGCCTCCGGCACCTTCAGGCCCTCCACCTCGCTATCGCCACGGTTTCAGCATCAGCAGCTTCGGCGACCTCAGCAGATGCTGAACCTGACCTACCTGAAGACGCAGACCCTCCTCTTGAACACAGTGAGGCCCCGCTGAGTTGGACCGATTCGCTTGATCCGAATTGGAGCACCACCTTGCATGGCTCCAATTGGAATTTAAGTTTGGTAGCTTCTTTCCGGCAAGTGCCATTCGCTGGCTTTTGCAGGAGGCAGACTCCACCGCCAACGCCACCTATGTTTCGTGGCTCGAATGTACAGTTGCATTGCGGCTTGCCGCCATCCGATTTCCGGTCCCGACTCCACACTCGAGTGGCGAGGTTTGGCGGGACCCAAGCCCACACGTCAATGTCCAAACCACCTTGGCCGCTGACATCAGGATGGTTCGCTTTTTCTTTCGGCTTTGTGCCGCTCAGTTTGGCTTGGACCTTGACGAGGTAAGGGGCTTGAACCTTTCAACATTAGGTGTCGCCCCTCCACAAGCAGGGCTCGCTTTGAAAATCACCCGGGCGCACAGACTCTGGGTGTCTCGCGAGCTGAGGGCATTTTGTTTAGGTCGCCCGATCCGGTCAGCAAATGACCTGGCCAGACCTTTCAGGCACCAGTCCTGAATGGAACCACGGACAAACGCCCGCCGCACTGCTTCCGCTGTGCGCGGGCACCACGCGCGTGTGAATGATGTTCCTTCCCTTGGAGTCACTGGCGGCGATCTGGAGGCCTGCGATCCGGGTGCTCCGACCTGGGCCACACACTTGTGGTTGAACATCCTCAAGGGTGGGGGTCGGGGTTCTCAAAGTTTGCCCTCCCTCCAACAATCCTTGGAAGTTGAAGATCCGAGGGTTTTGACAGACCAAACCGTTTGCTTCGTTGGAGGAGGGCGCCCGCTTTGGGCATTAGGGCATGGATCCCCAAGCAAGCTCTAGGGTCTCTGCCCAATGCCCAGACAGGCTCGGTGCTTCGAAGCAGCTATCAAGGATGCCTGAGATTCGTTCCAGAATCCGCCTTCGGGGCATACCTGGGGGTTCATATGGGTTCCCTGAAAACTGTTGACCTCCAAAAGCCTTCATTGTCTCTTCCCCTTTTCCCCCTTGTTTTTTGGGGGTCCCTGGGCGTTCTTAGACCGGGATCCCTTTGAAAGGGGCGCACCCCGTGCCCGGGTGTCGGGCGCGCGCACCGCTCCGGTGCGCCGCGAGGTCCGCAAGATCGCGGCGGTGGAGACCTTGGGCTCCGCCTCGGTGATCTGCAGCGACAAGACGGGGACGCTGACCGAAGGACCGGGGACGCGCTTTTCAGGGTACCGGCTCTTTTGGCTGTGGGTACCTGAACAATCCAAGTGCTCGACAAGCAGACGGTGAGGTTTCTGATGGCCTTTCGTGCCAGCTGAGCAGATGTGGCCGTGGGTCAAAACCAATGGGATCCCATGTTGGGGTAGGTGAATTCACCACCCATTTTAGGACCTATTTTAGTGGGGGTTGGGCTGTTCACTGGGGAGACTTCCAGTTGCCCGGTGGATTCCGCCCCTTTTTGCCCCTTTTTTGGGAAGGGCTCCCCTTTTTTTTCAAATGGTTACTGGGCATTTGAGGACTCATTTGTGGTGGGCAGTGAAAAATGATGCTTCTCCGGCCCGCCAAAGGTGGGGTTACCTGGGTTGGGACTTTCTCACACAGATGCACGCGCTTCCGACACTTTCCTTTTCAGTGCCCTTTCACCTCCAAACTGCCGAGACCACAGGGATTGAATAGGGGGTAGGTATAGCAACTACTATACAACCACCATAAACAGGTTATATTTTCAAACTTTCACTTGGGGTGGTGGTGTGGACCAGATCAATGCAGGAATTCGGTCATTCCAGTATGTTTGCAACCAAGGGCCGAAGCTTCCAATGTTGAACGGGGAGTGCGAGGGTGTTTGCAAACCGCAGCGAAAGCGGTGCATGATTTCGTCCGTCAACAGTTCTGCAATCTTCAATCTTCGTCTTCGTATTTTGGGGGGAGCACATTCCACCTGAATTTTAGCAGTAAGGAACCACCTCAAAGTGATCCAAATGATGCTACCAAAGGGTCCACCGGTAACCCATCCTGTATGACCCAGGGCAGGGCCAGGCATGGCCATGACATTAGACATTATGAGGTGGCATCCCTTGCATGTTGATCCTATGGGGCACACTCTTGAACCCAATTGTTTGAATTAGTTGTGACCCACTAGCAACCGACTTTCCTATTGGGTTTGAGTTGGGACCTTGCTGGCAAGATGACCACCGGAATGGGGTGATGGCCCGTGTATTCTCCACATATTTGGGTAGACTCCACACAAAAGGGTGTGGAAGTATTTCCCATGTCGCCTGCCAAACAGATGACCATGATATGGGGTTTCTCTTTTTTCGAGGGCCATCCTTGTTATGATGCTGTTTTCGTTCTTTTCCTCCCTGTTGTTCTCCGGGCTGGTTAACTTCTATATCACCCCTGCCTGCCAGGCAAGAAGCGCCATACATAGGCACAGCCGCATTCGTAATTCTTTGCATGGTTCTGGGTAGAGCATTTTGATACAAGGTTTTGATTGTGACATATGCCTGCCAGGCAAAATGACCATGACCAAGATGTGGTCCGGAAATGTGGAGTACTACCTCACCGGCCAGGGCTTTGACCCCACCAAAGGCCAAATCATGCGCGCGAATGCAGTGCTGCCTCCAGGCGCAGCTCGAGTTTCGAAGCCGCAAGGGCCGGGAAAAGGGGCGGATTTTGGACACGGTACTTTTAGTTGTCTTTTGCATTTAGAATCCCTCTTTGGTGTCCTTCTTGGTGTCCTTTCAGGTTTCCTTTTTTCTTTTTGGGTTTCCACCCTTTGGGCCACGGGTTGCTTCGGAATGAATAGAGCAATTTTGACGCCAGATAACAGGTAGGATAATTCGAGTCAGTTGAAACACACTGATTTGGAAGATCCCCGACAAAAAGCAGGTGGCTTGGATGCATTAAACCGGGCCGAAAGCTTTCGGTGGACTTTACTCACCTTTCTGGATCAGTCTGGTGGGCAAAACAGCAGGGTCGCTGACTTGGTTCGGGAAACTCAGGACACGGCCCAATGATGTGTGCAGAACTTCCGGACTCCGGTGCAATTCCTTTCTTTCAACCTTTTGGAGGAACCCCATGCATCATTTTGTGCAGCATTCCTTTACCCCCGGAGATGTCCCTCGGGTCGCCGAATCATCAGCTATCTGGAGCCTGGACAGTGGTAGCTTCGAGTAAGTTTCGCTTCATTTTCTCAACTTTCCGGACTTCGGCTTGCCGTCTTTTCAAGAATCATTCTGGCTGTCCTTCCCCATTCTCAGGGATGCTTCTTTTCACAAGAAGGGCCAAACCCTGGGAACATGGCCAGGGGCGGGGGTGAACTGGAAGCTGACGATCGCAGGGTTTTGGGAGACAGTCCTCTTGAACAGGCCAGCGTTCAAAGTCCATTGCCTTCCAGGGTCCACTTTTCTTCGGTTTCCTTCCTTCCTTTCTTTCTTTCTTTCTTTCTTTGGCCGCCTCCACCCAAAGGAACGTCCGAACTTCCGGATCCCGCCGGATCGATCCGTCTCTCCGGACCGCTCCGCGTGAGGCGCCACGAGCAACGGGGACCTCGGGGTGCGCACCACGCTGCTGGCGGCGCTGCTCTGCAGCGACACGGAGCTCTTCGAAGCGGAGGATCCCACCACCGGCGAGAGGACCGCTTCGCGCTCGAGCGGAGAAAGCCGAGAGCGGGGCCTTTGTCCAATTTGCTTTTGGGAGTTTTGGTTTTGTCTTTTTTGTTGGTGTTTTTTTGATTTAGTTGCTTTTAGGAGTTTTCTCCAATTTGCTTTCTCCAATTTGCTTGAGAACCCAACGCGTTGTTTTTCCCCAGATGGCTGAAAGCTAGAGGGGCTCGAACTTTGTAACAAAGAGGGGACAGTGATTTGCGAGATTGACGGCTGGGTGCCAGGGGGCGTGCAGTTGGGGTGCTGGTGCAGATGCTGTTTGGGGAGCGGTTTGTGGTGCAGGTGACAGTTTTGCAAGATTGACAGTAGGGTGCTATGGAGCATGCAGTTTGGGGTGCTGGTGCAGGTGCTGTGTTGGGAGTGTGACAGCAGGGTGCAGGGGTGTGTTTGCGGGGGCTTTCACGCACGGGCACATTTTTGCAAGATTCACGGCAGGGTGCTAGGGGGCAAGTTTGGGGTGCTGGTGCAGGTGCTGTTTTGGGGGTGGCGTTTTTGCAAGATTGATGGCGCAATATTGTTGAGATTGACGGCTGTGTGCTCTGAGAAGGCTGTTTTTTGCTGCGCTCTTCGGGGGGTGCTGTTAGAGGTGCTGGTGCGCAATCATCCGGCTGTTTTTGGCTATCTGGGGTCGATGCAGGTTTTTTGTTTTAGGATTTTTCCTTGTTTGGCACCTCCAACAGCCCGAGTTTTTTTCTTCCTATGTTTGGCAGGCTCGTGGCAGGGTGCGCGGTCGGTTGCTCAGTCGGTCAGCAAAATGTTGCAGTGTTGGTGGGAAATTGAGTGACTGTGAAATAGATACGCAGAATACAGTGAACTTGGGTTTGCCTCTTTTTTCATGTGCTTTGGCCCTTACACAGCGTTGGACCCGATGTGCGACACCCTCAGTGGGGCTTTGTTCTAAGACAAAACACGTGGTGCGATTTCTACATTCAGTTTACCTGTGTGAAAACCACACTTTTTGGGATTCATGCAAGGGGCTGAACAATATGAACAAAGTATCCTTCGAACATCAGGCTTGACTTAATGTTGTCCACAACCCCATTTCCCATTCCAATTATTTAGCCTCTCATACTGCCTTATGCTGACACATGCTGCATGACAATCATCACTCCTTACTCCTCGACAGATCAAGATGAACCCAGAACATCATCAGTTTTTGAGGAGTCTCCCGTTTCAGGACCCCCTTTTCGGGTTCCTTCCGCTATATTACCCCCGGCCGAATCCGCTCATAAAACCGGCGGTTTTTCGGTCGCGAGGGCCTGGCAGTACCGCGGCAACTCCTCGGAGGCGCCCATCGTGGTGGCGGCCCGGAAGGCGGGCCTTCCCAAAGATGCGTCCCAGGCGCGCCTCGGACACGGAGGGTTCGGGCGGCGGTTGGAACGGGGTGGGCGGGGGGGGGGGTGGTTTGATCCATAAGGAACCTGTAGTTGAGGGTTTTCCTTGGGTTCCCCCCTACTTTCCTGTGGCTTTCTCATGTTTTTTGGTGGCTTTGAAGCCAAACAGGGTTTCCAAACCAAAACCAGCACCCAGGCATGGGCAACCAGGTTCGGCTGTCGGCGGGCCGAGGTGAGGGTGGTGATTTTGCTCACTCCCTGAGTTGGACTTTTTGCCGCCTTTGGGTTTGGACCATAGCTAGCTGGCGCTTGGAAGCCGTTACGGAGCTGGGGGCATCCAAATTTGCTGAAGGGAGCTCAGAAGCTGGAGTTCCATAAGGACATGGTAGGCAGCCCCGCGTACGGGAGCTTGGCCCCCGGCCAATTGACGCCCAAATACCGAGTTTAGATAGCCATCATGAATGATGCTCATGGGAGTTTCACGGTGGCACATATCGGTATGGACTTGCTTGGGGCACCTCAAACCCAAAGGGCCTCTAACTCGAATTCACTGCCCTCATGTATATGGCCAACGGTTGGTCCCTTTGGGGACGTGGAGGACTCAAGTTTGCCAACGGGGGAAAGCCATTCAACGCATAGTTTGACCGCCTTGCCACTCGGAAATTGTCTCAAATAGGGGAGCCCTCAGAATTGCAGGTTTCCTTTTGGTTTCCCTTTAAACCAGCCCCAAGGAGGTATCGAAAACAGACACCTGTGTGATAGAAGGACACACTGAGCGTTGACCCATGGCTCATATCAAAATCCGGGCGCCTCCAAATGGTTGTTTTCCTTCTGGTTTCCTTTGAGGTATGTCTCTAAAGATAGATCCATTTTTGGGCTTGTTTGACCGGCCATCGTTTGTTTCTGAAATTAGGCATGTTTTTTCTCGGCAGGATTTGTTTTTGAAGATGGGATGGGATTGCCTCAACCTGACAAACACGTGATTTTTTCGTGGTGCTGCATTGCGCCCTGGGCCTTGGCCCAGGTGTCGTCGCCCAAAGCAGGCCTCGAAGTTCTGGGTCGATTGTGTGCCTCCTTCAAAAGGGACATATCGAATCTCACTTGCTGATTTCCTGGACTTTTAGTCACTTTATGGGTTTGACCGTAGTATATGACATAGTGGCACGCTGCAATGTCTCCAAGCCTCAGACCGCTTATTGGAAAATCCAAGGCCCGCCTAGTCTCAGGGAGTCACGGCATTAAAACAAGCAAAACACCAAGCCAATTGGCCAGACTCACAACATGTTTTTGCTTGCGAGGCAAAAGCTATAGTAGTTCTGAGTTTATGTGGGTATATGTCAACATAGTGCAGGGAGATGACAAAAACAGGGCGGAATTGCTTCAATGTCCGTTTTCTTCTTGGGTGGTCCGCCAAGTTGGTAGTTTGTTGGTTGCCTAGGTTATAGCCCACTGATAAGTCCTCGGTGGGGTTAGCCCTGCCGCTAGCGGTTATATCCCCAGTGCCTAAACACTTAGCAATCCCTTCACGGGATTCTAAGGTACAGGCGGCTGGTGAACATCCCGTTCTCCTCAGCGCGGAAGAAGCTCGGCGCAACGACTGTAGATGGAGCTTTTGGAGTGGGGTGCTTTCAGCCTTCAGGGACCTGCTACGTTTCACTATCAAGTCAAGGAACCTGCTGAGGAAACCGTTCCGGTCGGGGTCCGATTTTCATGAACCTCCGAGAGGGGCTATACGGGGAAGGGCCTACTCAGGGGCTAATAGGTGATAATCCCTCCCTCCCAGCTCCGTAGATTGAAAGAAACACCGTCCAAGCTGTTTGTCACTGAAATGATCGAAACCCAACAAGCTCTTCAGTCCGGCACTCAGGATAATTGGAAGACCACCAAACCCAAAGTTCAGACTTTTCTTTGGCCAATCCAATCAGGAAGAGACTTGAGGAATCCGCTTTTGGGCAAGCGGTCTTTGTACCTCGGGGTTGGTCCCTGCCGCATTTTTTCAGTGAACTGTGTTCAAGGTCCAACTGGGGCTGGGCGCATGGTGTCTTTGCTGAGAAGACTTGAGCTAGGGCATTTTATGGATGGTTGTGGCAAGCTTTCCTTTTGGGAGGAGCAGTTGTTCCCACGCGTTTTATCTGGAACCCCAAACAAGGCATCTCTAGGAGGGTCTCCCAACAGGAGATGCCCGCTGAGCCCAGATCGCGTAGGTTCCGTGGGTTTCGAGTTGGATCCCACTGGAGCTGACGGTGGAACTCGATGTCCATCCTCCAAACCCAGCGATTCCAGGGTTCAAGTTCGGCGGTCTCCCCTTTTTGGGGAAGCCAAATGGGTAATGGGTATGTTGAGGCCCCAACGGGTGTTTCCAACCAACAGACGAGCCCAAATGAGGGCATCCTTTTTCTGGGCCACCCCTCATTAGAACATGTCTTCTTCTTTTCTTGCGGGCCCCCAAAAGGGCCCCCGGGTTTCCTGGCTGTTTCACCCTGCAACACCACGACCAAAAGGCCGCGCCGCCCCTTGCGGTTCTTCGGCTCCGCCGAGGATGATGCTCACCGTGAGCGACGTGAGGGGGCGGCAAGTTCTCTGCGACGGCGGCATGGCGCTGCCCCCGAATTGCCACTGGGAGTTGCAACCAATGCGGGGGTAGCTCGTCCTCGTTTTTTTTTGGGGGGAGTTGGTGCCCTTTTTGGCCTGGCTTTATCAGGGAAGCCAAAAGGACCACGTTTTGGCCATTTCAGGGGGTCCGAGTCCTAGAAACAAGACACAACTTGGTCCCACTCTTGGATGTTCCTTGCCAAGTTAAGTGGTTAGCCACTTGGGTTGTTGGTGGACATGAACCGCCACCAAACTTGGACGTCCACCAAAGGGCTCCCAACTACAAAACACACCCACATTTGTTTCTTACATTTGCTGCTGCCGAAGAATAGATATGTTCAGGGGTTGGTTTTAAAGGGAATCTATCACTGGAAATAGGCTTTCTCCTTTTTCCAGTGGGAATAGTTTTCTCTTTTCTTCAGAGGACGTATCCGTAAATTGGAGATTTTGGTTTCGGGTTTTCCTTGTCGATCCTTCCAAGCAACAAAAACAAGATTTCAGGTACCCTGGTTTGGATGTGGAGGGTAGATAGGACACCCTCCACAACTCCAACATATTGGGCATTGGGCTCCTCACGTGAATTGGTGCCCATCCTCACTCCCTGAGTCCCTGGACTTTTATCACTTTTTGGGTTTGGACCATTTTAGTGATAAACAAAAGCTTAGGCTTCTGTTGGCCAATCCACTCGATCGGAAGTGAGTATTTCATGTATTTCTGGAAACCCGAGGCCAAGCCTTCACTGTGTGCAAGGGCGCCCCGCGGCTCGGCAGCAGCAAGTTTTGGCCGGGGGGGGAGGTGGCTGGGGGGTGGCAGGCGTGTTTCTCGAGGTTGTTTTTGGAGGGTACCGTTGTTTTGTTGGTTAAAGGAAACCAACGGGAAGCACCACATTTTTTTTGGGTCCCCTAAACAAAGGCATACCCAGAAGAACACATCATGTTCTGTGTACCCTTTGCGCGGGCCATGTCCTCAATCGCTTCGATCCCGGGCCGGGAAGAACCGGAGCTGGGAGACCCATCTTTTTGAGCCGACCTGAAAGAAATAGGCCGCGAAAGAAGAACCACCTGCAACAAATGGGTCAAATGGGGTTCTTCTAACCTGCGACCTAAAAGTAGAGAGATGCCGTCTCGCATTTATGCGCATTCTCCCCTCGAAGCAGCAAAGACGCGTCGACCTTTTTGTACGGCGTCGGACCTGTCCGGCCGGTTCCGCAAAAAGGACTTCCTGACAGTGTTGGTATCTTTGAGTGGTGTTTGGAAGGGGAACACTAATGACTGGTTTAGCTCCACAACACCATGACTTGATGTGCTTTTTAAGTATCCAATTAGTTGGGTGTGTTTGTTTTAGGGCGCCCCCAAAGTGGAAATCGCTTGTCCTTTTACTTTCCTTCAAGGCCACGAAGCAAATCGGGACTCCAAAAAAAGACGAGCCGCCCGTTTAGGCCCTGCAAGACTTCTCAGGAACTGGATCATCCAGAGCTGCTCCAGCATCCTGCGGGAGGACTGGTCCCGACTTTGCAGAATTCTCACCAAAGGGTTCTTTATAGGGAATATGCACTGCCTAAGTTCATGGTCTTTCCACTTTTTGTGTTTGGACCAGTCAAGCGGCGAACGCACAGTTTGGACTTTTTTGGCCAGTGCGCAGGAAGTGAGGGAAACCACAAGGAGCTTGTTTGAACAGTTGGGCGGTGTAAACAAGTTCAACCAATACTGTGGACAAAATCCTGCACCTGAGTATCTGGAATTCCTGGGTGCATCGACCCAGAATGTCTGGTGCCAAATTGTGGACTTGGTCCATCCATGGATGAAACCGCCTTCGTTACAAAAGTCTCCTTTCGCATGACCATCAGTTTGGGTTCCATGTTAGATGGCGTTTCCACCGGATGAATCGATAGGACGATGTTAGTTTGCAGGAGGTGAGCGCCATGGCGTTTGCACTAAACCAGCTACAGGAAATAGCCAAATACCCACCAAAATCAGGGGTTTCCTATAGAATTTCCTGCAGTTGGGTTCTTAGATTGAAATTGACCGCAGGTTCTAGTCCTTGGTTCCATCTGGGGTTCCAAAATGGATACTCATGTTTGACCCACAGCCAAATACCATGCCGTTTGCACTTGAAACTCTCAGTTCAGGACGGCAGCGTGGCTCCTCTCTCGGAGGGCGAGAAGCAGCAGATCAACAACTCGGTGGTGGACGCGCAGCTCGCCGTTCTCGTTCTCGGGCGGGGAGGCCGTGTTTGGTGGTTTTTCCCCATCGGGCCTTTTGTCCGTATCGTGTTTCTTTGGAGGGGATCTCCAAAACAATTGAGCATATTTTGGGGGGTAGACTAACTGTGAAGCGGACTTAAGCATGTTCTTTTGCGAGTGCTCCAACTCTGGGGGCAAGCTAGGGACTCATCCCAGATCTCCTGTGAGTCCTTTGAGTTCTACTCAAGCTCACCAGACATGGGGCGCTCATGTTCTCCGCAAAATCCACTGGTTTGGGGTTTGGGTGGTGTTTGCCCCCGAGGCCCCGCTGAACTCGTTTCTTTTGGTGGGCTCACTACGTGGCAGGATCTGCATGACCTCTCTAGGCCCAAACACATGGGATATGCACTCTGACTGGTCTTAATCTACAAGTTATTTACCCTTTACGCGGCCTGTGCGGTATATTGGGTGTGTTGTGTGAGGCTCGGTACCCTTTCCATTTTGAGGCTTCCAAATCCCGTGAGACAAGCCCATATTGTCCTAACACGTTGCTTGAAGATACCCCCTTCTGGAGGGGTTTTAAGGGAAGCCAAAAGACAGCCGTTGCAACATCCTTTTGTGCCTTTGTGGTATCAGCACCCAAGTGGTTCTCAGTTTCTTCAAAGCGAATTGACCAGATCTGACCTCTTGGTTTTCCTGTTTTGATCCATATTTCGTCAAGATTCCAAAACGGGCGTGTCTTTTTCATCTGTTTCAGGGGACCCACAAAACCGTGTTTTTTTCCTTGTGGTTTCGCTGTACCGCCAAAAAGGGGTACCAACTCCAAAAAAAAAGGGAACCCCCCCACAAGGTGGAGACCCCGTCTGAGGTATTCGGACCAGGCGCTGCGGGTCTTGGCCGTGGCGGTGGGCTGCATCCAGCAGCCTCCCTTTGAACTGGAGAACGAGGTGGGGGTGTCAAGTGGCTAGACGCCTTGCGGTTTTTCCTCCTTGCGCTGTCGTTGGCAAGACTTGTCACATCTTGCGGAATCATGATCACTCTGAGCGGAAAAGGTGTCACTGCTTACGGAAGTTAAACTGTCACTGCTTACGGAAGTGAAGCCACTACACGCGGAAAAGTAACAGGATCCCCAAGACAACCTTCATCACGGCCCCCTTTTCAGGACATTGGCTGGGGATCCGCTTTTCGAGCTGGAATGCCGGATTCCAGCTCGAAAAGCGGATCCCCAAGACAACCTTCATCACGGCCCCCTTTTCAGGAGGGATTGGCTGGGGATCCGCTTTTCGAGCTGGAATGCCGGATTCCAGCTCGAAAAGCGGATCCCCAAGACAACCTTCATCACGGCCCCCTTTCAGGAGGGATTGGCCGGGGATCCGCTTTTCGAGCTGGAATGCCGGATTCCAGCTCGAAAAGCGGATCCCCAAGACAACCTTCATCACGGCCCCCTTTCAGGAGGGATTGGCTGGGGATCCGGGCTCGAAAAGCGGATCCGACAACCTTCATCACGGCCCCCTTTCAGGAGGGATTGGCTGGGGATCCGCTTTTCGAGCTGGAATGCCGGATTCCAGCTCGAAAAGCGGATCCCCAAGACAACCTTCATCACGGCCCCCTTTCAGGAGGGATTGGCCGGGGATCCGCTTTTCGAGCTTCCAGCTCGAAAAGCGGATCCCCAAGACAACCTTCATCACGGCCCCTTTCAGGAGGGATTGGCTGGGGATCCGCTTTTCGAGCTGGAATGCCGGATTCCAGCTCGAAAAGCGGATCCCCAAGACAACCTTCATCACGGCCCCCTTTCAGGAGGGATTGGCCGGGGATCCGCTTTTCGAGCTGGAATGCCGGATTCCAGCTCGAAAAGCGGATCCCCAAGACAACCTTCATCACGGCCCCCTTTCAGGAAATCCGCTTTTCGAGCTGGAATCCGGATTCCAGCTCGAAAAGCGGATCCCCATTTTCACGGCCCCCTTTCCGGATTCCAGCTCGAAAAGCGGATCCCCAAGACAACCTTCAGGCTGGGGATCCGCTTTTCGAGCTGGAATGCCGGATTCCAGCTCGAAAAGCGGATCCCCAAGACAACCTTCATCACGGCCCCCTTTCAGGAGGGATTGGCCGGGGATCCGCTTTTCGAGCTGGAATGCCGGATTCCAGCTCGAAAAGCGGATCCCCAAGACAACCTTCATCACGGCCCCTTTCAGGAGGGATTGGCCGGGGATCCGCTTTTCGAGCTGGAATGCCGGATTCCAGCTCGAAAAGCGGATCCCCAAGACAACCTTCATCACGGCCCCCTTTCAGGAGGGATTGGCCGGGGATCCGCTTTTCGAGCTGGAATGCCGGATTCCAGCTCGAAAAGCGGATCCCCAAGACAACCTTCATCACGGCCCCCTTTCAGGAGGGATTGGCCGGGGATCCGCTTTTCGAGCTGGAATGCCGGATTCCAGCTCGAAAAGCGGATCCCCAAGACAACCTTCATCACGGCCCCCTTTTCAGGAGGGATTGGCTGGGGATCCGCTTTTCGAGCGGATCCCCAAGACAACCTTCATCACGGCCCCCTTTGAGGAGGGATTGGCTGGGGATCCGCTTTTCGAGCTGGAATGCCGGATTCCAGCTCGAAAAGCGGATCCCCAAGACATTGGCTGGGGATCCGCTTTTCGAGCTCCGGATTCCAGCTCGCGGCGGATCCCCAAGACAACCTTCATCACGGCCCCCTTTTCAGGACATTGGCTGGGGATCCGCTTTTCGAGCTGGAATGCCGGATTCCAGCTCGAAAAGCGGATCCCCAAGACAACCTTCATCACGGCCCCCTTTCAGGAGGGATTGGCCGGGGATCCGCTTTTCGAGCTGGAATGCCGGATTCCAGCTCGAAAAGCGGATCCCCAAGACAACCTTCATCACGGCCCCCTTTTCAGGAGGGATTGGCTGGAGATCCGCTTTTCGAGCTGGAATGCCGGATTCCAGCTCGAAAAGCGGATCCCCAAGACAACCTTCATCACGGCCCCCTTTCAGGAGGGATTGGCCGGGGATCCGCTTTTCGAGCTGGAATGCCGGATTCCAGCTCGAAAAGCGGATCCCCAAGACAACCTTCATCACGGCCCCCTTTCAGGAGGGATTGGCCGGGGATCCGCTTTTCGAGCTGGAATGCCGGATTCCAGCTCGAAAAGCGGATCCCCAAGACAACCTTCATCACGGCCCCCTTTCAGGAGGGATTGGCTGGGGATCCGCTTTTGCCGGATTCCAGCTCGAAAAGCGGATCCCCAAGACAACCTTCATCACGGCCCTTTTCGAGCTGGAATGCCGGATTCCAGCTCGAAAAGCGGATCCCCAAGACAACCTTCATCACGGCCCCCTTCATCACGGCCCCTTTCAGGAGGGATTGGCTGGGGATCCGCTTTTCGAGCTGGAATGCCGGATTCCAGCTCGAAAAGCGGATCCCCAAGACAACCTTCATCACGGCCCCCTTTCAGGAGGGGTCCGCTTTTTCCGCAGAGACTGTGCTTTGTTTTTCCGCACAGTTGGTTGTTTTTTTCCGCTCTGCGGGGTTCGCACGTTTTCCGCGCGCAGCGCCGAGCCTCTGTCGTTGGCAACGCCTCCTTCTTGAGGTTGAACCACTGTGGGTTTGGACAATTGCTTTTTATTATGGCAATTTGGTTGGATCTTTCGGATTTTTGGACTTTAACTTGTTGGTTGAAACAGCTCGGATGGTCAATTGGACCCAGAAAAAGTTAAACACTTCTTGCAGCTCGGTCAACAGCAACAAAGGCTTGGATACACGGTCAAGTTATCGACCTTGCCAGCTGCTGGGATCCGGGGTGTCTTGATGTAGATGATTTTGAGGTGTATCCTTTGAGGGAGCCTGCAAAATGCCAAAGGGAGGGTTGATGGCCATCCCCACCACCACTTTGGTATCACAGCAAGGCACATCTCCCACAACCATGCGAGCCTACGACGCACCCACACGGCAAGAGCGGCGCTCTAAGGTTGGCCATGCTTGCGTTCCTTCTTCGTTTTCTCCTTTTTGGTCCACTTTGAGTAAAGGCCCCTCAGGGGATCACTGACTTCCAGGTTCCTAACGGGCAAATGAAGTTATTGCATGGGTATTTTCTGTCCGTCCAAAGGGTTTTTTGGTGTCAGGACATCCCGGTGGATCAGAAGTTCGAGGCCTTGAGGCGGGCCCCGCAGGTTTTCGGGTTGGTATGGGCTCCTGAAAAACGATTGCGCGGAGTGGATTGGCCCGTGGAAGATGTCAGGGGTTGGATTTTTTCTTTTTGAAGGCACACTGACATGTATCCAGTTCAGTGTGGATCAGGGGGCTTGATGGTTTGTGCCTGAGTTTTTTGAGGTTTGGTGTTCTTGGTGTGGTGGGGTTGACGTAAAGGGAAGCCGAAAAGGAAGCCATGTTTGTTTTCTCTGGGGGCCCGGGGGTTGGTTCTAGTTTTGACACGCACTCACACACCCATGTTGCATGCTCAGGATCACTCAACATGGAAGGACTAAAACCAGCGGTTTAAATTGACCAATACCAATACTGTTTTTGGGTTGCCATTTTGTCATCTCCTCCCACTAGTCAAAGTTGCGGTGGATCGTTGTGGTCCTCTTTAAAAAAGGCCCGACATGGCATGTTTCCTCCCTTTTCCCATGCCCTTCATGTCTAAGAAGTTCGCTTTTGGGTGGGAACCCCTGCATGCTGCCTGTTCTTCTTGAGTTTTTCTGGGTCCTTTCTCCTTGAACCCTCATCACCTGCGGTTCTTGCGGCCGTTCTTGCCCTTCGGTTTCCCTTTGGTCTCTCGTTGCCTTCCCTTTGTTTGTTTTTGAAGCAACCTCCAAAAGGCCTTAATCACATGACCCATGCACGTTCCTCCAAAACAAAACCCAGTTTCTACCTCAAACAGACATTGAACACATGAACCAATCCAAGCAACCTCAAAAACATTCACACTTCTGAATTAAAAGCAAGAAGAGCACGCATGAACCGTATCCAATGTTCGCTTGGTCTCCTGTCCGCTTAGGTCTGGGCTGACGCTGGTGGGCATGGTGGCCTCCTTGGACCCTGACCGCGAAGGGGTCCAGGAGTCCGTGATCGCCGCGCGGTCCGCGGGCATCCGCGTGGCCCCTTGGCTGGGCTCGGACGAGACGGCCGGGTGCGTTCGGAGGGTTGGGGCGATCAAAATGGGTTCCCCTGGAAGTGGCGACATGAGGGGGTCTCCTCTTCTTCTGCTTTCAGTGTGATTGTGCTTTAAAACGCTATTCAGAGAGTAAATCTGGGGATCTCACTGGGACGGGCTCAGTTTTGGGCTTCTCTTAAGGCTGAGTTTGCTAAAGTGGTTGTTCATTAGGGATTTTCCAAATGGCTCTTTTTCTTTTGCGCGGGGGAATCCTGGACACCAGCATTTCAGCGTGGAGGAGAGTCCTTCCTGATCTTTCTGCGAAGGGGGCAGTCAGTGTTGACATGGGGTTTGCTCAAAAATTGTGGGTTGCATCCTTTTAGGTTCCCCTTAACAACGATCCACATCAAGGGTATCTCCCATGTGATTCCCTGGAAGCTTCAAACATGGACCCCTTTGAGGAATCAGTTTCATTTGCAATGACCACCTGGGAGCTTCCATAGTAAAGGGAGGGTACCCTCAACAAAAGGAACACACACACAGTTGCCAAAAGAGGGACAGAAATAGGCTCGTCTCAAAATAGTGGCATTCCCTAAACAAGGTTTTCCTTTGGTTTCCCTTTTTAAACCAGACTCCGAACACATCCGACATGTTCCGTGTACCCAAACTTTTTGCCGGGCTTCAAGTGCTTCAGGTGCTGCTCGGAACGACGTTGGTTGGACTCCTGCCCGCTTTCAGGTCATGATCACCGGGGATTACCTGAAGACAGCCATCGCCATCGCCAGGCCCAAAATGGGCGTCTCAAATTGGGTGCCTCCTTCTTTTTGACTCTTTCTGTTGTGGTTTAAAGATAAAGGCAAAAGGAAACCCGCCAATTCTCGGGGTGCTCCCAAACAGACACACCCAAATAGGAATTGGACCTTTCAAGGTTGGTGCGAGCCTCAAAGAAGGGAACCACACCCATTTAGTTAGGGAAGGGTAAACATAGAGTAGAGTCAGAACATGGCGGTGTTTGACCCCAGATTTGGGCCAATGCTTTGGGCTTAACAATCCGCTGGGAGCTTCTTTTGTTAGTTGTAGAAGAAAACCCATACTCCCAGGAAGGGGAACCGACGAACTTACCAAGAGAGGGGATTTGGAAGTTCCTCTAAAACTGAACGTTTCTGTGTTCCATGATCTTCGGGAGAGGAAGTGTGTTCAACACGTTTACAACACAAATTCTTGGTTTCTTCTATGGGGCCAAGGGGAAGTTGTTATTTTGAAGCCGATGTCCCCTGCAACAAGTTGGGGATCCGCACATGGGTCACATGGGATACACAACCACAAGGAATACCGCCTTGTTTTGGGGGTCCCCACAAAAGACACCAAATGGTCGCAATGAGATCCCCAGTTTCCCCTTCGTGGGGATGAGAACTGACCCTTTCCTTTCCAATCACTGTTTTGCGACTTGGGGGTTCTTTTGGTGTCGAACATGTTCCCTTGGCAAGAGAAATCCCATGTTACGTCGACTGGATTCTCCATACCCTTTGAACAATGGTTTCTACCACACGCCCTTGGCAAAAACATCTTTAAGTTGGGGATTGAACGGTGTCATGTTGGCCCAATCTTCCAAAAAACGCCAATGTGGTTGCTGAAACAAGCATGCAGGTTTGTGGATCCGACTGATTCTCGTTGTCTGACCACTTTTTGTTTGCGCGTGAGAACCGGACAGGCGCGTCGACATCCTGCAGCCCCAGGACGACGTGGGCGAGTCCGCGCCCGGGCGCGATTGGTTTGTTATCAACAAAAGCGGCCTGATGCGGCTCCCGTTTTTTCCCCACCCGACAGGAAGGGGTTGTTAGAATTTATGTTGGAATCCGCGTTTGCGATGCTTCTACACCACGCCGCCACCCACCGGCATCCTGCCAGAGCAGCCAGAGCAGCTCGCCAGCGGATCCCGCCGAGTATTCCGCCAGAGCGGCTCGCCAGTGGATCCCGCCGAGTATCCCGCCAGAGCAGCTGGCCAGTGGATCCCGCCCAGTATCCCGGCAGAGCTGCTCGCCAGTGGATCCCGCCGAGTATCCCGGCAGAGCTGCTCGCCAGTGGATCCTGCCGAGTATCCCGCCAGAGCGGCTCGCCAGTTGATCCCGCCGAGTATCCCGCCAGAGCGGCCCGCCAGTGGATCCCGCCGAGTATCCCGCCAGAGCTGCTCGGCAGTGGATCCTGCCGAGTATCCCGCCAGAGCGGCTCGCCAGTGGATCCCGCCGAGTATCCCGCCAGAGCGGCTCGCCAGTGGATCCTGCCGAGTATCCCGCCAGAGCGGCTCGCCAGTTGATCCCGCCGAGTATCCCGCCAGAGCGGCTCGCCAGTGGATCCCGCCGAGTATCCCGCCAGAGCTGCTCGGCAGTGGATCCTGCCGAGTACGCCAGTGGATCCCGCCGAGTATCCCGCCAGAGCGGCTCGCCAGTGCTGGCCAGTGGGTCCCGCCCAGTATCCCGCCAGAGCTGCTCGCCAGTGGATCCCGCCGATTATCCCGCCAGAGCGGCTTGTCAGTGGATCCTGCCGAGTATCCCGCCAGAGCGGCTCGCCAGTGGATCCCGCCGAGTATCCCACCAGAGCAGCCCGCCACCCTAAGTCTCCGGTATTGGTTTGTTTCGCGCGAGATGGAAAAAACCAATCGAGATTGGTATTTCCCATCGTGGATTGGTAAGTGGTGTAATATCAATATTGCAAGATTGGTTTGTCAAAAATGTCAATATTTGACCTTCCCTGACTTTGCAGTCAGATTTATGACTTTGCAGTCATTTCCCACCCTCCCACCACCCCCAGAGAACATGACTTTGCAGTCATGCCCCACCTTCCCACCACCCCAGCCCCACCTGAAAGCTGTTGGCAAATGCCCTCCTCACCACGAACCTTAAATTTAGGATTGCCACAACTTCGCACCCCCCAGCCCCACATCACAATTAACCACTCCTGGCCCCAGACAAGAGCTGCTGGCAAAAGCACTTTTTTCCTTAGGCAGATTGGCCCAGCTGCAAAGTCATTGCTACATCAAGTTTCTCTGACAGCAAAAATGGCATGTCGCAAGTTGACACCCCCCTCAGGCAGCTGGAGCCAAGCTCAGACAGCCTTCCAACAAAATCTTCACTTCCATAACACCACACATAGCGAGGGTTCAGAGTCAAGCCTTGAATGGCTAGCTCATTGCAGTAATGCAATTTTGGAACCATTGACCATTGGCAGGTTTTTTCCTTCACTGCTTTTGCAGCCAGGAACTGGTATGTTTGCAAAGCAGCTTCCATGTGACCCAAGGCTGCCCTTGCTTCTTGTTTCTCAGGAACCAGGCCAGAGTCATACACATGGTTGTAGTACATGTCCAAGTGTGCCAGGAGGTCCTTCCTTTTCAAGGAGTAAGTGCTTCCATCACACCAGTCTCTGCAGAGCTTGGAAAACACTGGCACCAAAGTCCTCACCTTAGAGCCAACTTTGACACAAGAGTTCCGCAAACTTGGTGGAAACAAAGACCCTTTATGATGCCAAGGGTCCTGGGCAGCCTTCAGGTGTGCCAGGCAAGGGTAGGTGGTACTCAGTGCCTTGGGTTTGGTAAAGTTGTTCAGGGTAAACTTGGACAGTGGCTTGCCATGGCCAGCTTCTCCTTGGTGTTCTTGTATGTAGGCCCAAAGTTTTTTCAGGGCAAGCTGCCTTTGTGCAGCTGGAACCTTGCAAACAACAAAGTCAAAGCAAACATTGCCAATGCAATGGCTGCTGAAGCCCAAGTCCAGCACATGGAGGATGTCGAGGCACAAGGTGTAGATGGACACACCAGGGGCTTTGAAAATAGGGTGTGCTGGGTTTCTCTGCCTGAGACTTCTTGAAGTTCTCCACATGGCATTGCTGACAAAATCATTCCAAGGCTTGTCCTTTGGATCCCTGTTGGCACCACAAAGGTAGCAAGGGGTGTTGCTGCCCTGGTGCCTCATGCCCAAGCCATTTTGGAAAAATTCCATGTCACCCATGAAGCCAAATAGGACTGCAAAATAATTGTTTGGCAGTATCTCCTTCCCAACACGTGGAAAAAGTGGGTGGGGGGGCTGGAGTTCATATCCAAAAGGATCTGTGTCAGGCCATTTGTTCTCCAGAAGGGCTTTCAAGCTCCATGCCACCCATGAATACAATGTGTGTTCTGTACCATTTTCCCCATGGGCAGTGCAGCTCTTGGGGTAGGAAAAGATCCACAAATGCTCTTCCATGCCGGGCTCAGAGCTCAGCAGGCCCCTGAAACTCACAGTCATCAGGCTGTCAGTGGACTGAAACTCTGCTGCATCTGCATGCAGTAGCAAAGGAATGCACCTTCTCTTCCAGTTGTGTTTCTTCAGCATGGGGTGGCCCTTCAGCCTTTTGTCTTCCATGGGCATTGCTTCCCAAAAGTTCTCCAGGTTGCTGGTGCCAAAGATGCTTTCGAAAACAAGATTTGATGCAGAGCTTGAGGACAGGTGGTGCATCCACATGCATGGCAGCTTCACAGGAACTTCCCCCTGATCATGGTGCAGCCCCACAGCCTTGGGGTCCAACCTAGGGCACTTGAGTGGCACACTTGTTGGGGCAAGGCTGGAGGAGACCTTCTGGAGCAAATCTCTATGACGCCATTGCGTAGTTGCCAAGCAAAGCCAGCCCATGGATGTCATCTTGCAGGCACCCTGACAGCCTGGCAGAGTGAGCAATAGCCTGAACATCAACTGCTGATATCTTGCCCCAGGCAGCAAGCAATGGGCCAGTGGGGACAAGGACTGGGCCCACCCAATAGCAGCAGCAGCCAAGTCTGCATGTTTCCTCTTTCCCATTGCAACCTGCCAGCAGCTGCCAGAACAATGGAAATGCATAAAACATATGGAGTTTTGCAACTGAAGCATGCACAGGTCCTACCAGTCTGACAAATACATGTATGTCTGTTGTAGTGCTGGTGCAATGCTACAAATGGCTGCAAAGTTGCAACTGCAATCTTGAAAATGGCTGCAAAGCCCACTGAGAGTGGCTGCAAAGCCACTTGAAACTGACTGCAAAGTCAACCCAATGGCTGCAAAGCCACTAGAAAAGCCTCCCAGCATGAGTGAACAGCCACCTACAAATCACCACACTTACAGCCCAGCCAACATGACTGCAAGGTCACCTATGGCTGCAAAGCCACCCATGACTGCAAAGCCACCCATGACTGCAAAGCCACCCATGGCTGCAAAGCCACTCATGACTGCAAAGTCATTCATGCTAAATGCAAAGGTGATGAAACATAAGTGCAGCTGTCCAGAAACACATGGCGCACAAAGGCCACCACCAACAGGTGGCTGCAAATTCACCCAGCATGATTGCACAAGGCCACCCAACATGGCAGCATGACTGTCCCAACATGACTGCATAAGCCACCCAGCATTACTGCATCAGGTTTGCAACTGTAGCCCCACTTGGCTGCACAAACTATTCGAGGGAGCAAGTGATTTGTTGCAAATCTATTGCACATTCATGCTCTGTCCCTGGACAAAGCTGCAAGCTCACCCTTTGCTCCTCCATGTTGCTGCACTTTCAACCTAGTCACCCAAACACTTTGGCTTGCTGGCTCACCCACCCCTGAATCTCCTTCACCTTGCTGTAGATCTCCAACAGCTTTTCCTGGCCAGGCTTGTGGGTTCCCTTGTTGCCCTTCTGCAGGTACAAGTTCTTGCAAGTGTTGATGTGGCCTGCAATGTTCTCCCCGCACAAGCCAATCTCCTTGATCACTGTCTTGGACCCATACTTGCTAGACTTGGCCTTGCCCTGCATAATCTCCACCTTTGTGGCCAGCCCCTCCAAGCCAGACTTCATTTTGCTGGCATTGTTGATGACATCAGCAACGCACACGATGGACTCTAAGGCCTTCAGGATTTTGTCCTTGTCCTTCTCCTTCTCCTTGTTGTCTGGCAGGGCCTTCTGGCCCTGGCTCTTGTCATTGCTAAAGCCACCAGTTTCCACATTGTACCTCAAGAACGTCGACTGCCAGTCCTCCATTGCATCTGGATCATCAGAAGTCACTTTCTTCACTCCCTGGGATTGCTGTCTTTTTTTTGAGTTGGTTTCCTTCTTGTGCACATCATGGTTGTCAATGTAGATTGTCACATCCTTTGCCCTTGGATGTTTCTTTTCTACTATGTCACCACATTCCACCAGAGCATCTATCTCTTCAGCAGAGTACCTCTTCAGAAGGGAGGTGTAGGACTCTTCTTTGATTGTCTTGACAAACTCCTGATTGTTCTGGATCTTCTGCACTGCCTCCTGCCAGCCATCACCAAAGGTGGGGTCCAGCAGCCATGAAATTGCACATTGCCTTTTGGCATGATTCTTGCCTTCACCCCTTGCCACATTGGATGCAGCTTCCCATACCTTCTTGCCCTCCACATTCTTGGAAATGGCAGTCTTGAGGCGACCATTGACTGCAGACCATTCTGCATTGCTCAGAGCAGGCCCTTCTGAGGCAACAGACTCATCCTCAACAGCCTTTTGCCTCCACAGCTCAATCTTTTCCTGCAATGACATGGGCTTCTCCTTGCTGCCAGATGCAGATGCCTTGGCAGCTGCTGGCTTCTTCATCACAGCCTTCATCACCTTCATTGCCTTCTTGGGGCCATAGCTGCCAGAATACCAAGGCAAACAGGCGCACAACTAGCTTGGCAATGCTTGAGCACAGGGTTCATGAAGTCAGCCCTTTCATTGTCAGCCACATGCAAGCCCTTGGTTTGTGCAGTAC